ATGAGCAGCGCGCGCGAGCGGCTGGAGCAGGAGCTGGCGCTGGAGGAGCGGCGGACGCTGGCGCTCCAGCAGCAGCTCCAGGCCGTGCGCCAGGCGCTCACCGCCAGCTTCGCGTCGCTGCCGGTGCCGGGTGCGCACGCCCCGCCCCGCCCCCTTTGCCGCCCCGGGCCCGCCCCTGCCGCCCCGCCCCCTTTGTCGCCCCGGGCCCGCCCTGCCCCTGTCATGCCGCCCCCTGCCGCCCCACACCCTGCTCTGCCCCGCCCCTGTCGCTCCTTCCCACGCACAGAGCCTGCCCCCTTCCCCGACCACCGCAGCCGGCCCCCGCCGGCCCCCGTCGGTCACCCCGAGCTCGGGCCCCGCTGACCACGCCTACCTGCCCTGAGTCAGCCGGGTCCCCACGGCTCAGGTCACCGCCCACCGCAGCCCCTCCCTCCCGACCTTGCTCACCTGGCCCCGACCACCCTGAGCGCTGACCCCACCTCCCTGCCCATCCCGGACAGCCCCGCCAGTCCCCGCGCCCCGCCTCCGCTAGCCCCGCCCCCTCCTCCGAGGCTCTGTCCCCAGCTGAACTTGGCACTCGCTGACCTCCCCCACCAGCCCATGCATCGTCACCGCGACCCGGGCCTCTGCTTTCGGCTGACCTTGATTGAGCCTCCGGCTCAACCCGGTCCAGGCGCCCTGACCCCAACCCGACCACATGGCGCCCTCCGAAGGGCTCCGCCCTCACGGACCACCCGCCCCGTGACCTCTGCCCCCGTGCAGTCCCGACCCTTAGACACCCCCACTCTCCCTCGCCCGGCCCGGCTGACCCGTCCCCCACCCGCCCTCCCCAGGCACGGGCGAGACGCCCACGCTGGGCACCCTGGACTTGTACATGGCACGTCTGCACGGCGCCATCGAGCGCGACCCGGCCCAGCACGAGAAGCTCATCGTGCGAGTCAAGGAGATCCTGGCCCAGGTCGCCAGGTGTGTGCCGGGCAGGTGCGGGGCTGCGTCGGGCCGCCAGGGGGGTGCACGAGGTCTGGGGGAGCCTGGTGTTCTCCCACAGCGGGATGTTACTCCCAGGACACCGCCTGGGGTTGGGGGCCATCTGCCTGAGGGCTGTGTGACCCAGCTGGCCAATGCCGGACAGTCCTATGCAAATTCCGCTGGGCGGGATCTGCCAGGCCCCCTTGGCCAGTGGGATCCACCTGGGGGCCCCAGAACTTCCCATAGCTTTTCAGTGGGGTCCCCGCTGCCCAGGGTAGGTGGGGTCAGATCCAGGCCCCCCCCATCTGTTTGGTGGTGCCGAGGGGGCGTGGCCTCAAGGGTTCCCCAGAACCGGGGTGGGGCTGAGAGATGATGGGGTCCCCATCACGCACCCCTCCTCTCTCTCCCCTTACAGCGAGCACTTGTGAGCTGAGGGCCGCCGGGACCCGGAAGTAGCTCTGGACTCAGCCCTCTCCCCACCTCCCCCCATGGAGGACAGGCTGGGGGTTCACCCTTTGGGGCCAGGCCCGTTCCTGCACCTTGGGGGCTGCAGCCCCCCAAAATTAAGTTTCTACAGCATCCCTTTAGCTTTCAAGCTCCGCAGCCCCCTGAACCCAGAAAAGGCACTGGCCATGGTGAGCCCTGGGGCCCTGGTGCCCAGGGAGGCGCCCACCCACCTTGCAGGCAGGGATAGCACCTAGTGCTGGGGGGTCACCTGTGTGGCCTGTCCTGGACCACCCCCGATGCCCAGCTCGCTGCAGGACCCCCGGAGTGACTCACCACGGGGGCCATGAGGTGCCACACAGGCAGGGCACTTTGCTTTCACAGGTGTGGGACCCTCCAGTCCCTGAGTCCCAGGGTGGGGGAGCTGGCGTCACCTGCCTGCCCGGCCCGGGGAGGGCGCCTGGTGGGGCAGCCCCTCCGCCCTTCTGCCCAGACTTTTTAAATAAAAGCAGGTGGACTTTGTGTTTCATGCTTGTGAGTGTGTAAGGTTTTTGGGGGAGGGGTGTGGATGGGCCAGAAGATGTGCCCAGAGTCCCCCAGGACACCCCTGCTGGGGACACCAGGCCTGCCCTCGTAGGGCCTCAGAGCCTGGGCTGTCCCTTGTTTCTCAAATGGGGAAACTGAGGCCTAAAGGTGCCCAGGTTCACAGAGCAAGCCAGTGACAGGGTGGGGACATTGTCCTCCCACCCACCTGAAGGTCGTGCTTGTGGGGTCCGCACACTGAGGGGGCAGACACGGTCGCTCAGTCCATCCTTCAGCCTTCCTCCTGCCTGGGGTTCAAATCCACTTCCCAGCAGAGTGACTTAGGGAGTTGTGTTTATTGTGGTAAAACACACAGCAAAGACTTTACCATTCTGGCCACGTTAAGGCACAGTCCGGTGGCATTTAATACATTGACAATGTTGTGCAATCGCCAACTCTGATCCAATTCCAGAACATTCCATCACCCCAAAAGGAAACTGATCCCCATTAGCAGTCATTGCCCATCCCCTCCCCCAGCCCTTGACAACCACGAGTCCACGTCCCGTCTCTGTGGCCCTGTCTGTTCTGGACGTTTCATCTAGACGGAGTCACACTCTGCGTGTCCTTCTGTGTCTGGCGTCTCTCACTGAGCACGACGTCCTCAAGGTCCCTCCACGCTGTGGCCTGTGTCAGAGCCTCGTCCCTTTTTGTGGCTGAGTGACGCTCCACGTGTGGATGGGCCACGTTGTTTTTATCCATGTGTCAGTGGACACCCGGGCGGTTTGATCTTTTGGCAGTCGTGACTTGCGCTGCTATGAACATTCACGTCCAGGCTGTTGTTTGAAAACCCGTTTTCAATTCTGCTGCGTAGATGGATTGCTGGCAGTTCTGTGTCTCACTCATTGAGGAAACTTCCCAGAGACTTCTGTGTTTATTGGAATGTTAAAGACATCCTCAGAAGTTTCCAGAACAATTTGACAAGCACCCATGCTGTGGGGTGACTTGTATTCCCGCTCCTCCCAACATGCCGCAGCCCTGAACCCAGAGCGTCTGAGCTGAGCGCGGCCTTATTTGGAAACACGGCCATTGCAGATGTAATTTGTCAAGATGAGGTCACACTGGAGTGTGACGGGCCCTTAATCCCGTGTGACTGGTGTCCTTATAAGAATAAAATGTGGCACAGGCACAGGAGGCAGCCATGTGACAACAGAGACGCAGATCGGATGTGTCTACAAGCCAAGGGATGCCAAGGTTTGCCGCCCGCGGCGGGAGCCGGAGAGGTAAAGGCAGATCCTACCCCGGGTGTCAGGGGCCCCGGGCCTGCCGACACCTCGATCTTGGAATTCCAGCCTCCAGACCTGCCAGAGAGCGTATGTCACCCAGCGTGCGGGACCTTGTTACAGCAACCCTAGGAGACGGGTACAACCTGATACCAACAACCCTCTGCCAGTCGCGCCGCTGCCTGGCGCAGGGACTGCCTCCAAGTTCGGGGTTCTCATTCGGAGCCATCTCCATGGTTTTACAACATAGGCGTGGCTCCCTAAAAAAGTAGCATTTTGCAGCAGTTTGCTTTTGTTTACTTAAAATTTTGTCTTGCAGTCTACAATCCAGTGGGTTTTTGTACATTCACAAAGTTGTGCCAGTGTCACCCCTCATCCCGGAACATTCCGTCACCCCCCAAAAGCAACCCTGTCCCCATCCGCAGTCACTCCCCCCCAGCCCCTGGCACCCACAAATCCCCTTCCTGTCTCTCTGGACCTGCCGGTTCTGGACATTTCACATAAATGGAATCGCAGGTGAATGTGGCCTTTTGTGCCCAACTTCTTGTCACCAGGGATGTTTTCAAGCTTCATCCACGCCGTAGCTTACAGCGGGTTTGGCAAAGTTTAGAACTTTGTATAAACTTTCTTGCATCGTCCAAAGACTTCTGCGAGCTGCTGCTGTCTGGTGCATGGGATTCTTCGAGGCAGGCGGCGTGGGGACCTGCCGGGTGGCCTGCCAGTGCAGGACCCGGCTGCTGGTTACTGAGCCAAAATTCTTGTGTAGGAATTTTGACGGATGCTACCTAGGCGTCCCCGGAGTCGCGTTCCAGGGGGTTTTCATAGACGCCTCTTCCTCACCTGTGACCTGGAGACCCATTCACGCCCTCACCAAGAACGATCTGAGCAGCCACGACGTGCCACCCACTGTGCGCCGGGCACAGGGACATGGCAGGAGTACAAAAGACACAAAGCCCCTGCCATCCTGGAGCTGACATTCCAGCTGGGGAGACAGACAGGATGCAAGATCAAATAAAATATCTGAGACACCACATGGCACCTTGAAACGCAGGGGAGGAAAATTAAGTCAGGGAAAGGAGATTGGGGGGCGGGGGTGGGGAGAGGAGGGGACGTGGAGCAAAGACGCAGAGGAGCTTGAGGGAGCAAACGCAGGTCTGGGGAAGGGAGTTCCAGGCAGGGGCACAGCCCGTGCAAAGGCCCTGGGGCAGGACCGGGCCTGGCATTGGGGAGGCGCAGCCAGGAGGCTTGTGTGGCTGGAGCAGAGTGAGGAGGGGAGAGAGGGAGGAGGGGATGGGCAGGTAGAGCAGGGCCATGCAGGCTGCGGGGAGGACTTGGGCTTTGACCCTGAGGAAGGCGGGAGCCATGGAGGGCTGTGGGCAGAGGAGGGACGGGATGGGCTCAGGTTACACCAGCATAACCATCCCTCCCCACCTCTTGAGGTTGTTGTAGGATCAAATGAGGCGCCCAGCAGAGAGTGAGCGCTCCGGCGCGCTCAGCTATTTGGGATCTTATTTGGGAACCTTGTTATTCCAGGGTTTGAGACTCAGGCCCCCGAGGAAGGACAGCCAGGTGTCCCCGGGGAGGGCGCAGCTGGCCCTGGCAAGGCCCAGGCACCTGGGGCCCGTCCCCGCCTCCGCACCCCGCGGTGTCGCCTTCCCGGGCAGCTCGGGTTCCCGGATCCCCTTACCCGGCGGCTCGGCTGTCGCGCCCTGGGCCGGGGGAGGGGAGGCTGCAGGAAGCGGCGGATCCGGCGGCGGCGGCCACAGAGGCGGCGGCCCGGGTGGGTGGCCGAGCGTCCCCGCCATGGAGAGCGAAGCGGCCGGCGAGGCCCGGGGGGCCGAGACCCCGCGCGCGCCCGCGCCCCCGCCGTCGCCCTCGGAGCCCCCGGCCGCGCCCCGCGCGCGCCCGCGCCTGGTGTTCCGCACGCAGCTGGCGCACGGCAGCCCCACGGGCAAGATCGAGGGCTTCACCAACGTCCGCGAGCTCTACGCCAAGATCGCCGAGGCCTTCGGGATCGCGCCCACCGAGGTGAGGACCCTGGACCCCGCGCCCGAGGCCACGCGGCTGGTGGCGGTAGGGCTGGAGCCTGGAGCCCAGACGGGAGAACCAGGTCCCGGAATCTCGGGGTGTTGGGGGGACCCGATCACCAGATCTCAGAGACGCTCCTCTCGGGTCCCGGGGCTCCGCACCCCAGGAACCCCCTTTGCATCTCCTGCTCAGCAGATGAGCAGGTCTGAGCGGGCCCCGGACCTCGCGGGAGCCCCGTCCTGGGAGTGGGCCGCACCCTCGGGGAAGGGCCTCTGTGGCCCGCGCGCCTGGGCGTTGGGGTTCCAGGCGGCGCCCTTGGAGGTGGGCCGTCTGGGGCCCCGCGGGCTTGGCGGTGCGCTGGGCGGTTCCCGGCCGGGTGTCGCGCCCTCCGCAGCCCCCAGGGGGCGCAGCAGCCGCACGACCCCTGAGAAGCGGCCGGCCTGGGGGGCGAGGGCGGCGAAGGGTTCTTAAGCCTGAAGTCCGGGCATGGGGGGCGAGAGAGGGGTCTCCTGCCCGCAGCCACCTCCTCTCCCTCCTCGGCAATCTGGGGGTCCCCTGCCCTGCCGTTTCCCATGGGCTGGGATCCTGGGCCAGTTTCGGGCCTCAGTTTCCCCGGCAGGCCTCTGAGCCCACGGCTGCGGCGGCTGAGCCCGCTGCTCTCCGGGGGCAGATCCTGTTCTGCACCCTCAACAGCCACAAGGTGGACATGCAGAAGCTCCTGGGGGGGCAGATAGGGCTGGAGGACTTCATCTTCGCGCACGTGCGCGGCGAGACCAAGGAGGTGGAGGTCACCAAGACCGAGGACGCCCTGGGACTGACCATCACGGACAACGGGGCCGGCTACGCCTTCATCAAGGTGCCTGGCGGGGGCGGCGGACCTGAGCCCTCTCGGTGGGGATCCGCGGGGGGCGGGGCCGGCGGGGCGGGGCTGCCCCGCGAGCGGTTCTGGGTCCCCGCAGAGAATCAAGGAAGGCAGCATCATCAACCGCATCGAGGCGGTGTGCGTGGGCGACAGCATCGAGGCCATCAACGACCACTCCATCGTGGGCTGCCGCCACTACGAGGTGGCCAAGATGCTGCGCGAGCTGCCCAAGTCCCAGCCCTTCACGCTGCGCCTGGTGCAGCCCAAGAGGGCCTTCGGTGAGGCCGGGTGGGGGGGGAGGTGGGGGGGGAGCTCTCCCAGAGGCGGCTCTGTGGGTGCTTGGGACTGAGGAGGGTGAGGGCATGGGACAGGGGGGAGGCTTCTAGATACATGTGGTGCACACCAGGGGGTGCCCCACTCTGTATCTGGAACAGGTGGGCAGTTTCTAGATTGGCACAAAGTCAGCTGGGCTGGGAGGGATAGTGGTCAGCGTGGCAGAGTGGGACAGGAGAACAGTCTAGACCCACTCCAGGGCATGACTGGGAGCTTTTAAAGTTGGGCTTTAGCTGGGCGTGGTGGTTCATGCCTGTAATCCCAGCACTTTGGGAGGCTGAAGTGGGAGGATCGCTTGAGGCCAGGAGTTGGAGATCAGCCTGGGCAACATAGCCAGACCCCATCTCTACGAAAATTTTTTTAAATTTTTTAAAATTAGCCAGGTGTAGTGGCTGCACCTGTAGTCCCAGCTACTCGGGAGGCTGAGGCAGGAGGATCACTTGAACCCAGGAGTTGGAGGCTGCAGTGAGCTATAACGACACCAGTACACTCCAGCTTAGGTGACAGAGTGAGACCCTGTCTCTAAACATAATAAATTAGGGCTTTGAGGTCATGGTGCATTCTAGAGAATGGTTTGAAAGAGAAGTCTGGGACTGGCCCGTGGACAAGATAAGTCGCTTGCTCTAGAATATATTTTCTCAGCCTCAGCACTGTGACGCATGGGGCCAGATCATTGTCCTGGCCAGATCACTGCGTCCTGGCCCCTGCAGGGTGCTGACCGGTGGCCCACCTGTAACACCTCACACACTGGCTGTGACAGCCAAAAATGTTTCCAGATGTTGTCAATGCCACCTGAGGGGCAAAGTCACCCCCTGGTTGGAACCCCTCCTCTAAAATGTATATCATCCTGTTCATGTTAGCAGATTTTTTTTTTTTTTTTTAGTTAGAATTTCTCAATGAAGGAAGCAGCGTGTTGATTTACATACTGGGACATTCTCTGCACTTCATCACGGACTGGCCCTTTGGGTAGCACTGGTCTAGAGCAAGAGGTTCCATAAGTGCCCTGGCAGCTCTGAAGGGAGGTTCTAGACGCGTTCAGTTACAATGGCTCATTCTGGACTCACGGTTTAGCTTCCTGGGGGCAGCAAGAGTGGGGTTCCAAAGGGGTCTCTGGGGAGACTTAAGTCACTCCAGGGACTTAAGGAGGACTTTGAAGAGAAAGAAGGTTCTAAAGAGACTCACCTGGTGGCTTCTCTGGGTTTTACGAAGACATGGACCCCCCCAGAACCCGTGCCTGCCCCCCACTCTGTCCCCTGCAGATATGATTGGCCAGAGAAGCCGGAGCAGCAAGTGCCCTGTGGAAGCGAAAGTGACCAGCGGGAGGGAGACCCTGCGGCTTCGTGCTGGGGGGGCCGCCACGGTGGAGGACGTGGTGAGTGAAGGGGAGGGTGGCCTTCTCGAGCTTTTGCACCCAGAACTCAGCGCTGACTTGGGGCGGCCTTGGATGAGACGCTTTTCCTCCCGGAGTCTCAGTTTACCTGCCTGTGTAACGGGTCTTGATTGTAAGGCAGGGCAGTGACGGTGGTGCCAGAAGCAATGAGCCGCGGGAGGCTCCGGTCTGCTCTGCCCTCAGGGGTGGGGCCGGGAGGGGCTGGGGCCATCGGGGGCTTCTCACCCTCTGTCCCCCACCCCCCGGTGCCTGCAGCCCAGCGAGTTTGAGGAGGAGGCGTCCCGGAGGGTGGACGACTTGCTGGAGAGCTACATGGGCATCCGAGACCCAGAGCTGGGTAAGGGGCCAGGGTAAGCTGGGGGGTCCCTGGGGGGAGGACAGTCCTCGGGAGGGGGCAGGGTCCTGGCAGGAAGTTGGGGCTCATGGAACGTCCCCCACTGACGTCCCCTCCCACGTGGCCCGCAGCGTCCACCATGGTGGAGACGTCCAAGGAGACGGGGAGCGTCCAGGAGTTTGCGCGCTGTTTAGACTCCGTCTTGGGCGAGTTTGCCTTCCCGGACGAGTTCGTGGTGGAGGTGTGGGCCGCCATCGGCGAGGCCAGGGAGGCCTGTGGCTAGTGTGTCCCGGGGCTGAGCTCAGCCCCAGCCCCGAGCCCAGCCCCCTGCCCCAGCCCTGCTCCAGAGCCCAGCCCCGCTCTGAGGCCAAGTTCCTCTCTAGAACCCAGCCCAACTTGGAGACCCAGCCCTGCTCCAGAACCCAGCCCTCATCTAGAATCCAGCCCAGATCTGAGGCTACACTGTGCTCTAGAGCCCAGGCCAGCTCTGAGATAGAGTCTACTCCTAGAGTTCAATCTGGCTCTGAGACCAAGCCCAGTTCTAGAACTCAGGCCAGCTCTGACACCAAGCTCTGCTCTGAGATAAGGCCCAGCTCTAGAACACAGCCCAGCTCTGAGACCAAGCCCAGCTCTGAGATTAAGCCAAGCTCTAGAACACAGCCCAGCTCTAGAACTCAGGCAAGCTCTGAGACCAAGTCCAGCTCTGAGACCAAGCCCAGCTCTGAGATCAAGCCAAGCTCTAGAACACAGCCTGGCTCTAGAACTCAGGCAAGCTCTGAGACCAAGCCCAGCTCTGAGACCAAACCCTGCTCTAGAACTCAGGCAAGTTCTGAGACCAAGCCCAGCTCTAGAACACAGCCCAGCTCTGAGTTCAAGCCCAGCTCTGAGACTAAGCCCTGCTCTAGAACTCAGGCAAATTCTGAGACCAAGAACAGCTCTAGAACACAGCCCAGCTCCGAGACCAAGCCCTGCTCTAGAACTCAGGCAAGTTCTGAGACTAAGACCAGCTCTAGAACACAGCTCAGCTTTGAGACCAAGTCCAGCTCCAGAACACAGCTGAGCTCTGAGACCAAGCCCAGCTCTGAGACCAAGCCCAGCTCTAGAACACAGCTCAGCTCCGAGACTAAGCCCAGCTCTGAGATAAAATCCTGCTCTAAAACTCAGGCAAGTTCTGAGACCAAGCCCAGCTCTAGAACACAGCCCAGCTCTGAGACCAAGCCTTCCTCTAGAACTCAGGCAAGTTCTGAGACCAAGCCCAGCTCTAGAGCACAGCCCAGCTCTGAGACCAAGCCCTGCTTTCAAGCCAGCTCTGAGACTGAGTTCATCTCTAGAGTCCAGCTGAGCCCTGACATCAAGCCAAGTTCTGGAACCCAGACAAGTTTTAAGAACCAGGCCAGCTCAGAGACGAATCCTATTTCCAGAACCCAGGACAGCTCAGAGACCACGCCCTGCCGCAAAACTCGACCAGACTCTGGAACTCAAGGCCACTCCATGGCACGGCCATACCTGGAGACTCGGTCCCACTCCGGAACCCCTGTTAGTTTTGAGACCCAGGTGAGAGTCAAGCAACAAGCCAGCCGTAGAACCCAAGGCAGCTCTGGACTCAAAGACAGCACCCAAAACCAGCCCTATTCGAGATCTCAGACCAGCTCAGGAACCCAGAGCCAAGCTGCTGGCCAGTCCAGATTCAAACCTCAGCCCTGCTCTAAAACCTACTTGCACCCAGGTGCCTACACCCCTGCTGTGGCCCCATCCAGCTCCGGCAATGAGTCCAGCTCTGAGAGTGAGCCCAGCTCCAGACCCCAGCCTAGAGCTACAACCAGGCCCAACTCCAGAACTCAGAGCAGCTCTGGATCCCTGCCCAGCTCTGCAGCAAGGCCCAGCTCCAGAACACTGCTTGGCGTGGAGCCCCACTCTCCCTGCAAGACACAGGCCAGCTCTAGAACACAGTCCAGCTCTGGGACCCAGACCTGGCCAAGCTTCAGAACTCAGTCCAGCTCAGGCACTCCACTCATCTCCAGAACTCAGCCCAGTTCTGGAGCACAGACTGGTTCTGAAATCCCAGCCAGCTCCCAAACAGAGTCAGTTGCTGAGACCCAGCCAAGTTCCAGAATCCAGCTAAGCGCTGGAATCCAGGCTAGCCCTGGGTCCCAGAGCAGTGCAGCAACTGAGTTAAGCTCCATGACCCTGTCTGGTTCCAGTGGCCGGCCCGGCTCCAGCACCCAGCACAGCCTAGAAGCGCAACCAACCTCTGCCTCTCAGCTCCTCTCTAAAACCCTGCCGAGTTCTAGATCCCAGCTCCAGCCCACAACCCCAGCCAGCTCTGGTTCTCAGCTGGATGCCGGGATGCAGACCAGCTCTAGAACCCAGCCCAACTCCAGGACCCAGATGAGTTCAAGACTTGAGCCCAGCTCTGGAACCCACCTGAGTTCTGGAAGCCAGCATGTTTCTGGAACTCAACCCAGCTCCAAAACCCAGACCAGTTCTGGCACCCAGCTCAGCTCGGAGACCCAGCTCAGCTCTGGGACCCAGACCAGCACAATAATTCAACCCGGCTCTGGAGCCCACCTTGGTTCCAGCACCCAGCCTGTTTCCAGAAGCCATTCTAGTCCCAGAGCCCAGACCAGCTCACAAACCTGGCTCAGCTCTAGAAATGGGCTCCGTCCACAGACCCCTGGCCCTGCCCCTAGAGCCCAGCCTGTTACCCATGTCCCAGCCCGACCTCAGCCCCCAGGGCCCTCACCCAGAGCCTCTGCTCCAGCCCCTGGCAATGTCCTCCGGCCACCACCCCAGCCCCATGACCTGGTACGTGGCACCCAGGCCGGCCCTGGCCCCGCAGCCTCCCACCTGGCCCCACAGCCACAGGTCTCCTCCGCACCTCAGAAGCCACCTCTGTCCCCCAAGCCGCAGCTGGGATGGCAGAAGTCCACAGCGCCCAGCACACCTGTCACTCCTGGTGCCGCCCCAACGGCAGCCCCCCTGGGCTCCCAGCCCCTCGACCCCCCAGCTCAGGGGCCCGCCCCCTCCCCCACGCCCAGGGAGCCAGGGCCCCTCCCGCGCGGCGGCGGGGGGCTGTAGTGCCGGGACAGCGCTGAGGCTCCTGGGGTCCCCTCTCCTGGCCCTCCCAGCCGGGGTCCCCAGAAGGGGCAGGTGACCTCATTCGCCATCAGGCGGGGGTGGGGAGGCGCAGTGGAAACGCGGGCTTCGGTTTCCGGGCCTGGCGGCGCCCGGTGTAAATGGATCCGGCCCTGGCGGGGGACGGAGACAGGGGACAGGGGCAGGGCGGGTCATCCCCATGTACCTCGAGGGCGCCAGGTGAATAAAGGCCCCGTCCTGCCGCAGCTGGTGTGTCCTTTTGGGGGAGTTTCAGGGAAAGCAGAGGACAGGGCTGGGCTGGGGCGGGGGGGGCCTGGGGGGCTGGGAGCAGATGGCAACCTGAGCGCCTCTTGGCGCCTACTGTATGCAGAGCACTTTATCAAGCACCATGTGCGCATAAGCGCAGGTGCGGCACAGGGCTCCATGCACACTCCTCATTCTTCCATTCAACCAGCATTTATTGAGCGCCGACTGTGGGTACAGGGCTGTCCTGGCCCTGGGGAGTTTGAAACGCTGTTGGGTGAATGAACGATGCACCCACCAGGGCTGGAGGAAGCGGGGACTTCACTCCACGGTCTTGTGGATGTCTCTCTCCTTGTCTCTCTCCAACTGCCAATGGGTCAGAGGCCAGAGCCTCCCCCAACAGTTGTCAAGAGAATGCAAGGAGACACCACTTGCCTAAGTGCTCAGGAAACAGCCGGGCGCAGCGGTCCACACCTGTGATCCCAGCACTTTGAGAGGCTGAGGTGGGAGGATCCATGAGTTCGAGAGGCCCTGAGTTCGACACCAGCCTGGGCAACATAGCGAGACCCCATCTCTAGAACAAAATAGAAAAATTAACCCGGTGTGGTGGTGGTGGTGGCGGCGGCGCCTGTAGTCCCAGCTACTCAGGAGGCTGAGGCAGGAGGATTGCTTGAGCCCAGGAGTTGGAGGCTGTAGTGAGCTGTGATGACGCCACTGCACTCCAGCCTGGGTGACAGAGCAAGACCTTGCCTCAAAAAGAAAAAATAAAAAATTAAAAGAAAAGAAACCACTCGATAATGAGGTGGGAGAGGCACATAGACCCCAGCCCCAGCCTGAGGGCGCACAACCTTGTGCCCGGAATCCCAGAGGCCGCCGGCTTCTGGAGCCAACGGCAGGAGCATTTTGGCCAGAAAGGGGTGTCCTTCCTGTCCGCATTTGGTCTTTTCTAGACTGAGCCTTTCCAGGCTGGGTCTCAAAGGGAGGCCACTGTGTCCCGGAAGCAGGTCACATTCAGGGGTCGGGGAACCCCCCATGTCAGGAGCTTTGCCGGAAGGGGGCCCTTGGCCACTCTGAGCCTTACGACACGCTCTTCCGACACCCCAACACGCCCTTCCTGGGGTCGGGAGGGGCTCGGGGGAGGGGGGGTGGTCTGGGTGGGGGAGGGGCCGCGGTCTGGGACAGGGGTCAGGGGTCGGCGAGGAGCTGGGGGTCCCCAGGCTGGCTGGAACGCGCCCATATGGTCCTGCAGCCCAAACCCTGTGTCCGTCCGGCACGCTCAGCTCACGGAGCTTCGGGGCGGGCGGATGCGGCCGCCAGAGAAGACGGAGGGTCCCTGGGGGGACAGGCGGTGACCGGCCGGGCGGGCGGGCCCTACTGCAGCACGGAGCCGCGCGGGCGCTGGGGCCGCAGGGAGAGCGAGCCGGGCCGCAGGCTGCGGCGGGGCTGCAGGCGCCGGAGCACGGCGCGGCGGAACAGGATGTACACCCAGGGGTCCAGGATCTGGTTCCAGGTGGCCACGCGCAGGTAGATCAGCAGCTGCTTCTCCGTGGCGCGCGGCAGCTGCCCGGTGGGGCTCATGGCGGGCGGGCTCCTCAGCAGTGTCTGGGCGATGAAGACCTGCGAGGGCCGCAGCGTCAGCCGGGCGCCAGGCAGCCCCCGCCCGGGCTCTGCCACGGCCTTGCTGTGTGGCCTCGTGAGGGTTGCCTAGCCTCTCTGAGCTCCCGCGGACGTGTCCATTAACCAGCACACTCTCCCTGCTCCTCTCCTGGGCGCGACTGGACACGGTGAAAGAGGAATTGCTTTTTCACCGCTGCCAGCACTGCTAGTCTGTTAACATTTTTATGTCCTAGGCTGGGCACGGTGGCCTGCACCTGTAACCCCAGCGCTGTGGCATCTCCTGGCCAGAAGGCGACATTTGAGCAAAGACCTGGAGGAGGTGAAGGTGCGACCATGTGGAAATCTGGGGGTGGGGGTGGGGGAAGCGTTCCAGGCAGAAGGCACAGCCCGTGCAAAGGCCCTGGGGCAGGACTGCCCCTGGCGTGTTGGAGGCACAGCAAGGAGGCCCGTGCGCCTGGAGCAGAGGGAGGGGGGAGGGGACGGAGGGGACAGGGCGGGTTGTGCAGGGCCTGGTGGGCTGCAGGGAGGACTTGGGCCTTCACCCCCCAGGAAGGTGGGAGCCACGAAGGGCTGTGGGCAGAGGAGGACGGGCCCCGACTCAGGTACCCATGGGTCGCCCTCTGGTGGCTGCTTTGGGGACAGACCGTGGGGGGGGGCAGGCATGGTGCAGAGCAGGTGCACTGCACTTAATTTTAAAATTTTTTGTAGAGACAGGGTAGGGTCTTGCCATGTTGCCCAGGCTGGTCTCAAACACCTGGCCTCAAGAGATCCTCCCACCTCGGCCTCCCACAGTGCTGGGATCACAGGCGTGAACCACCGCGCCTGGCCTCATGTACTTATTTACTGTGTTTCTTTTCTGTCTCCTCCAGAAAGTTAAGAATTTTTGCTGGTTTCGTTCTCTGCAATGTCTCCAGCGCCTAGAACAGTGCCCGGCACACAGTAGGTGCTCAATACATGCTTGCTGAAGGAACAGTGAATGCCTGATCTCGTTTCATCCCTACAACCCCCTGAGAGCCAGGCAGCGCCTGTCTGGTCCCCGCAGCCCGAGGACCCCGGGGCTCGGGGAGGGAAGGTCATTGTCGGAGTCCCGAAGTGAGTCCTTGTCGGGCACAGGTTGGAACCCGAGCGTGCGACTCCAGACTTGGTTTCTCGACCTGACTCAACCAGAAACGGGAAAGTAACCACTCCAGCGACACCAGTTCAATGAAAGGACTTCAGAAATCTTGGGTTTACATAAGAGCCCTCGTGAGGCTCCCCCGACCCAGGGAAAATCCGGGCAGGGCTGGCTGGGCCTCAGCCAAGAACTAGGCACAAAGGGGACTCAGGACACACTGAATGACTAAGTGACTCTGTCTAGAGTGCCTTCCTCCTTTTGACTAGCAGGTAAACTCCTATTCATCCTTCAAAGCCCCAGCTCCCACGCCCTCCTCTGGAAAGCTTTCTCTGATCCCCCAGGTAGAGGCGCCGAGCCCCTCCCCGGGCCTCCCGGTCCCCAGATGCCGCCCTGCCCCAGGCCTGAACACGGGTTTCGGGGTCATCTGGGTCTTGCTCAGGGGTGCCTCAAGGAAGGACACCGAACGCTGGGGTGCCTGCCTGCGCTGTCGCGGGCGGGCGGGCGCCTGGTGACTCGGGCCGGGCCTGGCGCGCGGGGCGGGTTGCGGGGCGGGCGCGGTTGCGCGGGCGCGGTCGGGTTGCAGGCGGGCCAGTTGCGGGCCGGTTGCGGCGCGGTTGCGGGCGCGGCGCGGTTCGGGGGCGGGCGCGGTTGCGGGCGGGCGGTTGCGGGGCGCGGTTGCGGGCTCGGCGTGCGGGCGCGGGTGCGGGCGCGGTGCGGCGGCGGGCGCAGGTCGGGCGGCGGTGCGGGCGCGTTCGGAGCGCGGGGCGCGGTTGCGGGGCGGGGCGCGGTGCGGGGCGCGTTGCGGCGGTTGCGGCGGCGGTTGCCGGGGCGCGGGCGCGGTGCGGGCGCGGTTGCGGGCGCGCGGGCGCGGGTCCGGGCGCGGTTGCGCGGGCGCGCGCGGGCGGGGCGCACTCACCAGCAGAGGCATCCAGCAGACGCTGGCCACCACCATGATGCCCAGCAGCTGCGCCATCATCTCCACCTCGCCGTCGCGCGGCCGCTGGCGGGCGGCCTGGCGGCCGTGGTAGACGCGGCAGAGCGTGGCCACGCTCACCGTGTTGAGCAGGAAGGACAGCGCCAGGACAGGCCGCCCGAGCCGCAAAAGCACCGAGGGCGTCGCCGCGCCGCGCGCCCAGCGTGAGGAAGCACCAGGAGCCGGGGAACTGCACGGAGTAGCGGCCCAGGCCCAGCAGCGGCAGCAGCGCCAGCGCCAGCGCCGCGGCCCACGCCAGCCCCACGGCGGCCCAGGCGCGGCGCGGGGAGGCGGCCGCGGGCCGCGAGAAGGGCCGCGCGATGCCCAGGCAGCGCTCGGAGGCCATGGCGGCGCCCAGCAGCAGCGGGCACAGCCCGAAGAACACCATGGCGACGCCCATGAAGCGGCACAGGCGGCAGCCGGGGTCGGCCGCGCGCCAGTCGAACAGGGCCGCGTGCTGCGCCACCACGATGCTGCCCGTGACCAGCAGCCCCAGGAAGTCGGTGAGCACCAGGCCGCACAGGAAGGTGAGGAAGGACGAGCGCGGGTGCGGGCCGGCCTGCCGCGCGCCCGCCAGCACGCTCAGCGCCAGCAGGTTGGAGGCCAGGCCCGCCACGCAGAAGGAGGCCGCGAACCAGGGCGAGGCGATCAGCCGCCGCTCCTCCACCGAGGTGTTGGTGGGCCGGAAGCAGGGCCCCAGCGAGCTGTCGTTGGACCACATGGCGCCGGGGCCGAGGGCGCCAGTCACCGCCCCATCAGGCTGATGCTGCAGGCGGGTTGCGGCGCTGGCTGGGGCACACCTGGGAGGCAGAGAGAAGATTTGCTTGCGATCAATTCTGCATTTCGGTGTCCGGGGCTCTGGTGAACTCCTACACAACCTTCAATGCCCCAGCTCAAATATCCCCTCATTGAGGAAGCCCTTTTTGACTGACTTCACTCCCCACTCCGGGAATATTATTGCTATTATCACTGTTGCTACTGATATTAATACTACCTCCACCTCTGTCTTGCCTCAAACCCAATGACCCTCTAGAGCCAAGACCAGGGCTGCCTCCTCTGGGATCCCTGGAGGACATGGGGGTGTATTTTTTGGGTGCTGGAGAAGGGCCGGGGAGCCCTGGGTTTGAACTCTTGCTCTGGTGCTCACTACGTGACCCCAGGCAAGTGGGTTCTACTCCCCGGGCCTCAGTTTCCCCATCATTGGTCCATCCAAGCCCTGGGCAGGCTGCAGGGCGAGACTAATCTCAGTTATCGTGAGACGGAAGCTCTGAGCTCCGAGATGCGTCTGGTGTGGGCAGGGCGGCTGGCTGGCTGGTGGCCAAGGGTCCCTGGCTCTCTCGCCGGCTCCAAGGTCAAGTTCGAGGGTCACAGTTCCTTGCCAATGCATGTGGGAGAGACACCGCGGGGGGGAGGGGCAGGGGTCACGGATGTCCCTCCTCACACACATCACGGCTGTGCGGATTCCTTGTTCCCCAAGTTCGTGGCGTCGCTTTTATAATAAGAAATAAACCCGGCAACCCGCTTCCATTTTGGGAAGGAAAGAACAGCTCCTTGGGAGCGACAGGTTCCCCGGGGACAGGTTATCAAGTGCAGGGGCGGGACCGTCACCCGTCACCCGGCTGGGGGACGAAACCAGAGAGACAGCAGGGCCCGCAGTCAGATGCAATGTGAGTGAAGTGAAAATAAAACCAGAACATTCCAAAACCAGCTCCCACTTCCCAGAAGGGACACACCTCGGGGGACGTCATCGTGCGGAGAGAGGCGGGGGCTTGTCCAGCCACAGCCACCCAGGGACCGGAGCTGGCACCGGGTCTCCTGCCTCTCGCCCGGGGCGCACCCCAAGACGCGCTCGGGCGGGCGGGGGTGCAGGGCGCGTGGGGCCCGTGGGAGTGTTGCAGTATTGGGGGGCCGGGCAGTCAAAGTTCGTCACGCTCCAGCTATGACCCCCATTTTGCAAAGGGGGAAACTGAGGCACAGAAAGGTTAAGGAACTTGTCCAAGGTCACAATGCCCCGGCTGGAGCGGATCTGAGATTCAGCTCGTGCCTCCTCACGTAGCAACGAGGCTAAGAGCTATTTCAAAATTCCGACAGGGAAGCGTTGGAATCGATGACTTTTTTCCTTGAGAAGAGAGGAGGATTTTTCTTCCAAGTTGGTCAGACCGGATTCGAACCCTGGCTTTGCCGTGAACCTTCCTGCTGACCTTGGCATCTCACGACCCCTCTCTGAGCCTCAGTTTCCCTTCCTGTACCATGGGGATGATCCAATCTGCACGCAACACTTAGCACACAGTAGGTGCTCAATTCGTGCTGCCCCCCAGGCTGTGGCTGTTTTTCGGAAGCCAGGTGGGTGGCCGCCGGCTGTCACTCCCCATCCCATTAACTGGCGCCTTGGCCTGGCTGCTCCTTGTCGAGCCTCATAAATTATCCAGCTCCCAACAGCCCCACTGAGCGTCCCTCCCGGTGGAGAGCCAAGGCCGCTGCCACCTTGGTGGAGGCAGGGCCTCCAGTGGGGAAACTGAGGCACAGGGAGTGGAAGAGGTTGGAGGCTCGCCACGGGCACTGGCAACCGTAGCCATAGACTCCGGGGGGGGTGCCCTTTGCTATCCCAGACTTGGATCCTGCTCTTGAATTCCCCCTGGGACGGGGCGCTCCCTCCCTCCAGCGCTGGTATGTGCTGCTCTGAACATTCCTGGGAACTCAGGCCGTGCCACGGCCACTGCGCTGGCCCTGGCCTGGAGTGAGTGCCGTGAGGCCTCCTTGCCCCGACCCTGTGGGAGCTCTGTTCACCTGGGGACACACATCCGGGACTCCCTTACGCCGCCTGTGTCTCAGGACAAACTGCCGACCCAGAGCTCTGGACCCCGGGGACGCTGGAAACTGGCACCGAGCCGCTGGCCACGGCCGGCGGTGTCCAGTCCCCCCTGGACCTCTCCCACCCTGGGCTCAGGTGGTGGCGGCCGTCTCAAGTTCCTCAGGCAGGGAGGCCAGCACGGGGCCTGGCACGGCCTCTCCTCTCCTCTCTGGCTGGTCAGGACGCTGGCGAGGCCCCACCAGGGGAGGACCAGAGAAGCAGCGCTTCGTGGCCCCTGGGATCTGATCTCTGAGCCCCGAGGAGGGGTGGGCCCCGGGCGCTTTGCTGATGCCAGAAACACCCAGAATTCTGCCGCCTGACAGCGGGGGCCATTTGCACTTTGAGGGTCCAGGGATCTGGAATTCTAGGGAGCCCCCAGTTCTGCAATCCGGCAAAGCCTCCAGATTCTAGAATCTGCTGGGCATGGTGGCTCATGCCTGTAATCCCAGCACTTTGGGAGGCCAAAGCAGGAAGATCACTTGAGCCCAGGAGTTCATGACCAGCCTGGACAACATGGCAAGACCCCATCACTAAAAAAAAAAAAAAAAAAAAATTAGCCGGGCGTGGTGGTGGCACTTGTAGTCCCAGCTACTTGGGAGGCTGAGGCAGGAGGATCGCTTGAGCCCAGAAATTGGAGGCTTCAGTGAGCTTTGATGATGCCACTGCACTCCAGCCGGGGCGACAGAGTGGAACTCTGCCTCTGAAAAAAAAAAAAAAAAGATTCTAGAATTCCAAGGGGGTGAGGTTCTGGGTGGGAATTTGGCTGGGTCCCGGGTTCCAGAAATCTCTGTCTTAGCTGCCGAGTTCTTTCTGGAGGGTGCGCGCTGGGATCTTCTGTAACCCGACACTGCCCGACTGGCCAGGGCCCACGTGTGAGGTGGGGACCCAGGGGCTGTGTGTGCGGCTCTGGGCTGGTGCGGGCACCAGGCTGGCCCCGCCGCCCGCCGTGGACTTGGAATGTGCCCTTGGCTTCCCAAGCTGCAGGCCCCTCCCCCGCGCCAGCTTCGCCTGCATGCATCTCCCCACACCCCGCCCCCGCCTGCCTGTCCCCGAGGCCTGGGCCTGCCCAGCCCCACCCAGGGCCCGAGATGGCCTCAGACAAGCCTGGACTCTCCAGTCCCCAGGCCGCCCTGCCAAGCTGGGGCCCAGCCTCGCTCAGCCTCAGTGTCCCCTGCTGTGAAATGGGGATCAGAACGGCACCCAGCAGCCCGCCGGCATCCGGGTGCTCAGCCCAGGCCCTCCCGCTGTGGGCGCGCTGGCCTCCCCGCAGGGCGCCCTGGCAGCCTGGCAGCCTGGCAGCCTGAAGCCTGAAGCCTGAAGCCTGAAGCCTGAAGCCTGAAGCCTGAAGCCTGAAGCCTGAAGCCTGAAGCCGCAGGGACCTTCCAGGCCTGATGCGAATCTCAACCCCGGCAGCTGTGGAGCCCCCCCCCACGTGGGAGAACACGCGGCCGCCCAAAGCCAGGGCCACCGTGGCCCGCCCATGTTCTGGGAACTCTTCCTGTTTGTGACACCTGCGAGGTCCCAGCCGGAGTGTGCAGGGTGGGGGACCCCCGGCCAGCCAGACTGGGCTCCGCCTTTGTTTGGGCGCCTGACACCTGTGGCCCCTCCGAACCTCTGTCTCCTCCTGTGTGTGTGTGTGTGTGTGTGGCACCCTCAGAGTGATCGCAGCTCCCGTGGCCCACGCAAGTCACAGCCGGTCCACTGATGCGCACAAGGGCAGCCACTGTGTGCGCACGCACACACACACTCACAGTCACACTCACAGTCACACTCACACACACTCACAGTCACAGTCACACTCACAGTCACACTCACACACACTCATACAGTCACAGTCACACACACAGTCACACGCACACACACTCACAGTCACTCACAGTCACACTCACACACTCACACTCACAGTCACACTCACAGTCACACTCACACACACTCATACAGTCACAGTCACACACACAGTCACACGCACACACACTCACAGTCACACTGACTCACACTCACACAGTCACACTCAGTCACACGCACACACACACACTCACAGTCACACACACACAGTCACACGCGCACACACTCACAGTCACACCCATACACAGTCACACTCACAGTCACACCCATACACAGTCACACTCACACACTCAGTCACACACACTCACACACACACAGTCTCACACTCACACGCGCACACACTCACACGCACACGCACACACACAGTCTCACACGCACACACACGCACACACACAGTCTCACACTCACACGCACACACACACCCCTGCAGACCTGCACGCGGAGGTGCTCACAGGGCCCGCCAAGGGCGCGCACAGCCACGCAGCTGCCAGGCGCGCCCAGTGCCCCGCGCCCCCGGCGGGTCCCAGCCCGGCTCCAGCAGAGCGGCCCGCAGGAGGCCGAGCGCGGGGACCGAGACCTGGGCCCAGGCGGCCCGGCCCCGCTCCGCCCCGCGCCCGGCGCCCCGCGGGAGCACACGCTGGCACCGGCGGCCCCTGGGCGCTGTCGCCGCCCACGCGGACACACCCACAGCGGGCCGGGGCGGCAGGGCGGGCTCCTGTCCACACCCGCGCATCCTGGCCCGCGGCTCTGCGGGCCGAGTCCCACCTGGCCGGCGCCCACCCGGCGCCCCTGTCCGTGCGGACCTCACCTGAGCGGGCCCCACCTGGCCGACCCGGCCGCGCCGGGCTCCGGGCGCTGCAGTCGGAAGCGGAGCGGGCTGGGAAGGGCGGGCCGGGCTCCCGCGGGATCCGCGAGGAAACTGAGTCACGGCCGGGCGGGGCCGGGCAGAGGACCCTCGCGCTGGCACGTCAGCGCAGGGCCAGAGGGAGGGCGTGGCGGCAGAGGACGCCTGGGGTCGCGGAGTCCCGGCCTGGAGGGGTTCGCTGGGCCTCGACCCGGCCCGGGGTGGGGGCGGAGGGGCCCGCTCGGTGGCGCGGCCGGTCTCTCTGGGTCCCTGTCTCTGTCTCTCGCTGTCTCTCTGCTGGTCTCTCCCCGGCCCCGCCCCCGGCGCTGGCCACGCCCCTCAGGCGCGGGCCTGGCTGACTCGGGTCGGTGGGGTCCCCCGGCTGGACACCCGCGGCCTCTTGGGGGGGCTCCGTGGGACCCGGGACCCCCGGGGCTTCGCTGGCCCGGGGTGGGTGGGGGCGGGGAAGCCCCCTCGGGAGCCTGGGCGCCTGCGGTCGCCCCCACCGGCCCTCCCGGCCTCCTGCCGCGACCGCGCCGCGTTCACCGTGCGGGCAGCGCCGAGCGCGGGCGGGCGGTGGGTCAGCTCCCTGGGCGCCCGGACCTGGCGCGGGGCTGGGCCTGGCACACAGTAGGTGCTTAATAACTGCATGGGTGTGTTGGAGGCCCCAGCCAGGGGCGGGGTGGGAGCAGAGGGGTGTTGGGGCCTTCATGGGGGCGCCCGGCTGAGGCTTTCCGGAGCAGGTTGCCTTGCGGGGGAGGGTCCTGGGAGGAGGACGGGCCAGGGCAGGGAGGCCAGGGCGTGGGGGCGAACGGACGTGGCCTGTCCTTGCAGGAATGATTCAGAAGGTGAAGCCAGGGAGCCAGACACAGGACTTGGGGGCTTGGGGACCAGCTCCTGGGCCAGATCAGCTTCCAGCGACCTTGAGCCTCCGTGGCCCCAGTTTGAACACCCAAGCCAGGCAGGACAGGCTGGCCTAGCTTCGACCCCACCCCACCCAGTCCTCTGGGCCTGAGAGGGGTGGTGAGTCCAGACTCTGAGTGCGGGGGGTTGGGCTCCAGCCCTGCCCCCCTCTGCTGTGTCCGGAAGCCCCTTCCCCGGGTGCCCCACCCACCATCCTTCCGCCCTCGCTGGCACCGGCTTCCCTCCACTGAGGCCCCTCCTAGTTTCATCCCATTGTCTTGAGTCCCTGAGCCACTTAGGCCTAACCTCTCTTCCTTGGCAAGGAAGTCCCTGGCTCCAAGGCCCCTTTCTTCCTGATCTAGGCGCCTAAAGCCTTCTTGATCTCCCAGTTTTACTCACTCCAGGTCCCTCTGTGTCTGTCACACACAGCTCATGTGGGGGGACAGTTCTGAGTCTCAGGTGAGACTGGAAACCAGGCCTGCCCTTGAGGCTCCCCAGGCTGGAGAAGCTGGACACTCACTGTTCCAGCCCCCTGGGGGCAGGGCTGGGCCAAAGGAAGTGACAGGGCCCAGGGGAGCCCAGAGGTGGGCTGGGAAGGCATCCTGGGGGGAGAGGGCGTGGGAACTGGGGCTTCATGGGATGAGTAGGAGTTTCCCAGGTCTGGCCTACAAGGCAATGGCAGAGTTGCAAGTGCCAGACTTTGGAGGTGAGAGAGTGCGCGAGTCTTGATGAAAACTACGGAGAACAGATGTGGTGGGAAGAGGATGTGGGCCTGGGGCTCCAGATGGGGGGTGGGAACTAGAGGAAGGCTGCTCTGTTCCCACTTCCTCTGTCCCCAACCCCAAGATAACAAGGACAATGTCTTTTCTGGGAAAGAGCCCAGGCAGGGGTCAGAGAAGGACGCTTGACTTGCCTTTTAGTCTGAGCCTCACCATGTCTCTGCAAGGCAGTGGGTGGAGGTGCTCATGTTATGGAGGGGGAAACTGAGGCCCAGAGGGAGGAGGATGCCAAGCCCACGTGTGGTTTTTGAACACATGCTCTGGGCTTCCCCTGCCTCTGGGGCTGGTGGCTGCAGGTCTGCAGCCTTGGCCTGCCCTCCCCGCCCGCTCTGCACGGCTGGGCTCAGTGCACACAGCAGGTTTGGGTGGGAGGAGTTGTGCGGGGTGGGGGGCCGATGGTGGGGGCCGAGGCGCAGGATGTGCCCCCCGTGGCTGTGGTTTCCGGAGAGGGCGAGGCAGGGAGCATCTATTCTTAGATTTGGACAGTCAAGGGCAGGAAGAGGCTAGGATGGGGGGAGCTTCCGGGACACCGGGTAGACCTCAGGCCCGGGTGGGGTCACGGGGGGCTGGCTAGGTTTGGTGCTAGCCCTGGCCTCCACTTCCCATCTGCGTGAGGCATGTCCCTGACACCCAGCTCAGTGGCCCTGCTCAGCTCACTGACCCTCTGTGGCTCCCCTGTGCCCTGGGAAGAGTCCAGTCCCCTGCCCTGGGCACACCTGCTGCCCTGTCCTCCGCAAAGCAGCCGCCACCCCCTTCTCTGCCCAGCACCCTGGCCTTCCAGGTCCAGTGCCTGTGTCCCCTCCTCTGGCAACCTTCGGTGCCTCCCCTGCCCCAGCTCTGCCTCCCTCCAGCCTGGGGGGTCCTGGCTACACATGTGCCCAAGTTGGGGGATGGCCACCTTGGTCCTCCTGTCCCGAGCAGCCACCTCCTTTGGGGTTGATGTCCTGCTGGACCGCACAGGGGATGTGAGGAGGAGGAGCTGGGAGAACCCCTGCAGGGGCGGGTGGGAAACTGAGGCTGGGACATGGGCAGTGGTCTGGGAGGAGGGGTTGGAGAAACCCAGGTTCCAATCCTGGATTAGATGGGTGGAGCAAGTCAGGGATCAATTGTTAGAGGCTGCCCAGAGGATGCTAAGGCTGCTCTGGGATCTGCGGTCAACTAGTGATGTCTGCCAAGGGTCCAGATGGGGATGGAAGTGCTGTGTGCTGCCACCCTCACGTCCCCACCTTCGTGTCAGGACAACCGGTGACACCCCACCTTGTGGGCAGGGAGGCAGCTGGGGGGATGGGCACAGAGGGGACCCAGGGACTAAACAAAGCTCCTTAAGGGACCACTGGGACCTATTTTTGGGTGCTGTGGTCATGTTTCTCACAGGTCTGGTTGTGTCAGTCCCTCGGCTGTGACAGATGTACTGTGTTATACAGGACGCCAGCAACAGGGGTGGCGGGGCGCCAGGACTCCACACTATCTTCGTAGCACTTCCGTCAATCTAAAATTATTCTAAAATAAAATGTTTATTAAAAAAACATGCAATCCCACAAGGAGACCAATTTACTGAGAATAAAAGATGTGCTCGCTCCCCACCTAAAAAAGTTTTTTAGAGAAACAAAGTAAACTGTTCCAGATGAGACTGGGCGCCTGGGCGGCATCTGGGCGCTGGTGACGATGGCCAGGAGGTGGCACTTCGGGGTGGGGAGTCTCCTTATCAGCCGCCCGCTGAGCGGCTGGCCGTGGGTACCGGGCGGCCTCGGCCCCCCAGAGGAAGGGGGTCGAGGAGGGCAGCTGCAGGGTGGCCGGGTGGAGTGCCACCATCCCGATGTGGGCGGGAACTCGGGGTCGCTGGATCCGCACGGGGGCGGGGGGCAGGCGCTGCAGAGCTTGGACGAGCCCCGATGGACCGTGCCCAAGGAAGGGTCCGGCCAGAGCTGCCCAGTGAGCCGGAGTGGCCGAGGGAGGAGCCGGAGCCCGATCCTGCTGGACCTGCAGCCGCTGTCCTAAGGGCCCATCGACGCCCTGAGAGGTGGCAGGGGCGGGACTTGGGTTTCCTGCCCTCGCAAGCCAGCCGCCGTGGCCACGTGCGGCCCCTCTGCTCCCCCTGCGTGGTGGCAGCGTGGGCCAGGCCGCACCTGCGGGCCCAGCCACAGCCCGGGTCCTGTCTTGATGCAGCGGCCGGACCTGGGTCCGTTTCCTCCCCGCACTTGGAGAGGCGCCGCAGCGGGTCTCAGGCCTCACACGCCCCCTGGGGCAGAGGTCAGCGGCAGGGGTCCCTCCTGCTCTGAAGATGCCCCCAGAGGCCCCTCGACTCTCTGAGTTAGGCTCTCTGGGGACTGCCATTTCAAAGAGGGGAAACTGAGGCCTGGTGAGGGAAGGTCTAGCCTGAGGCGGGCTGTGAACCTGGGCAGGCAGCGACCCCGCAGCTGCTCAGCCCGGCCAGGCGCGACTGCGCAGCTGCAGCCCATGCGGGCCCTGGAGTGCCCGCCCCTTCACCAGCCCCTGGACCGGCGACCCTGAGGGCACCGCCTGCTGTCCCCCACGGCTTTACCGCCGGTAGCGGTAGCGCTTGAAGTGGAACCAGAGCTGGAAGATGCCGTTGGCGAACTGGCAGCGGAAGCCGTGGCGGTGCGAGTACTCCCACTCGCGGTTGACGATCTTGAAGGCAATGTCCTCGTAGGGCGGCCCCGCGTGGAAGCGCAGGATGGCGAAGTCCTTGTTGTCGGAGCAGGTCTCCAGGAAGTACTCGGGCGTGGAGCGCTTGTCGATGAGGTCGGGGTAGAAGATGTTGAACTTGTAGCCCTGCACGATCTTGGGCGGCGGGTTGTCGAAGTCGTAGTGCGTCTGGTTGTACTTGTTCCACTCGAAGCCCGTGTGCACGCGGTTGAAGAAGCGCGGCTTGCGCGGCCGGTACTTGTCGGCCCACAGGTAGGCCTTGCCGGTCAGCGGCATCTCCACGCTGAACTGCGCCTCGTCCTGGCCCATGCCCTCCTTGGCGCGCCGGAAGAAGATGTCCTCTGCGCTCTCGCTGGCGTCGCCTGTGGGCGGGGATGTGCTGTAACCTGGGGCCTCAGTTTCCCCTCGGTCACAGGCCTCCCTCCCAGGCCTCTGGTAGAAGGGGAACAAGCGCGAGGTACACCACGCGCCCTGGGCCCTGGTCCTGGGCCTTTTGTGCCTGTCACCCTCCTGGGCGTGGCAGGAGGGTCTGGTGGGTAGGGCCCAGATGCTGGAACCAGCCCCACGCGCGACCCACTAGTGGACCCCGGGCAGGGCCCTTTCTGAGACTCGGTTTCTCTGTCTTGGAACCGTGGTGGCACAGAGGGTGCTCTGACAGCTGGTGAGAGCCGTGATCCCTGGTGTGCCCACGGCCAGTCAGCGAGCGCAGAATGGGCGAATGACCCAGCGGAAAAATAAGTGGGTGAACGAACAGGTGCTTGGACCCAGAGAGAGAACAGAGAAACACGGGCAAATTCACCACCAATGCCAGAGGTCCCAGCTAGGGGCACCGGGTGGTGCCGGCCACGCAGCACCTACGCCCAGCCCTGGGCACACCATTGGCTCCCTGGGCCCCGCCCCTGCCCCCTGGCCCCACCCCCAGCCTGCTCCAATGGCTGTCCCTCTGGCCCCACCCTTCCAGCTCCCATCCCGCCCCCGCCCCGCCCCCCGCACCTGTGACCTGGAGCTGCTGGCGCGACAGCTGCAGACGCTGCAGGTCCTCGTCTGGCTCCAGCACGTGCGCGTCCAGTGGCAGCTCGTGCGCCGTGAGCAGGCGCGGGCTGTATTTGCCCGCGTCGTAGTCGTCCAGGCTCTGCTGGATCAGGTCCTCCTCCATGAGCACCGCCTCGCCCTCGCCCTCACCTTCGCCCTCCGCCTCGGCCTCCGCTGGCGCCGCCCCGTCCGCCTCCGGCTCCGCGGGGCCGCCCTCCAAGGAGGGCCCTGGCGGGGTGGGGGCCGTGTCCTCAGGCCCCAGGCTGGGGAGGAGAGAGAGTTTCAGGCCCCGGCTGGGGAGGAGAGAGTGCTGGGGAGGAGAGAGTGCGTGTGTGGGGGAAGGGCTACGACCCCTCCGACTGCCACCTACCTGGGGCTGGGGGACTGGGGCTCCTGCTTCAGGATGGGGAACAGCGGCTCGCTCTCCACGCCCTGCTCCTGCTTCAGCTTGTACAGCTTCTGCCGCAGCACGTCCTGGTGGCGCTCCCGGAGCCTGGGGTGCAAGGCCCGGGTCACCCTCCCACTTGGGGACAGGGGCTCTGCACCCCACCCGCACCGACACTCTCACACTCCCGTTTTGCTGCGGGACCCTGAGGCCAAGGCTCTGGCCGGAACCCTGCTCAAGCCCGGCCAGCCCAGGGTCAAGGATTTCAGCCAAGAGCACAGTGTGACTTATCTCATGGCTGGGAGGGGGCAGGTCCCTGTCCCAGGGCATGCACACTGGACGTGGCCCATGTGGCCAAGGCTGGGGCCAGCCAGGACAATCTGGGGAGGCCAATGACAGATTCAGCGGCCGCACAGAGTACCGCCAGCTACAGACGAGGCGGAGGAGACTGTTTACGCGAGGGTGCCAAGCGCGCGGGGAATCCGTACACAGCCAGAGGCCGGAGGACGCCGGGCCTGCAGTGGAAGGCAGCCAAGACAGGCGGCCTTGGGGCTCCCTGCAGTGTGCGATGGCCCCAGGGAAACAGGCCTGGGGACCTGGAGCCACCAGGTGCTCCTTAGGGAAGGAAGCTGCCTGAGGCCAGCCGGAAGGGCCGCCTGTTCGAGGGCCACTGGAGCATGGGGGGAAGGGCCATCCTGCCAGGGCCCCGCTGCAGTCGGGCGAGGTGTGGGGAGGGATGAGGCCGCGGGGACAGCACCGCCTGGCGGCCCTCACCTGGCCCTGGCCATGTGCGCGCGCAGCTGCTGCAGCAGGCTCTCCCAGTAGCCCATGTCCAGGTTGGGGCCGCCGGCGCGGATCTTGCCCTCGATGCCCTGGAAGATGACCTGCAGCTGGTTGTAGGTCTTCCCCTTGAACACCGACTGCACGTCGGAGCTGACCGAGGCGTTGACCCCCTCGCGGCGCTCGCCTGCAGTGGGGCGGGGGCCACTCAGCAAGGGGCGGGGGTCCCTGGCGCTCAGCTTCTCCACTTTGCCCAGCTGCTCCTCCCCCAGCCTGGCCTCCCCTTCACCCACAGGGCTGCACTGGTCTCAGGTCACCCCCACCCTGGCTGGACCTTCCTACCGCAGTCAGGGGTGAGTTAAAATGCAGATGCCCGGGCCTCGCCCTTCGGGAAGCTTGTACTCCCCGGGCTGGGGGTGGCCGGGTATGGCATTACCAGCTGAACCATGTGGGGGCCAGGAAGGTACACTCAGCAGCCACTCTGCAGAATTCAGACCCAGCTATGTGGCCATGGACATGTGGCTCACCCTCTCTGGGCCTCCGTTCCCCTCTGGGAGGCTGATGAGAGGCTGAGGAACAAGCTCCTCCTCACTAGCCTGAGAGGCCCGACTCCATGTGCTCTGCCTGTGGCCGGCTGGCAGTGCCATGTAGCAGCCTCACCCCGTGACCCTGTCCCTTGTTACTCCTGCCACTTCAGCCTCCTTATTGAGAATCAGAAACATCAACTCCACCCCCGCGCCCCCAGGGCCTTTGCACATGCCATGCTCCCCACCCGCGGCCCAGTCTTCTCCTTCCCACTCACCTCCCGACCTCAACCCCCCTCTCAGTGCTCAGCGAGAACACCCCTCCCACTGAGAACCCCCCAGCCACCACCCATCGACAGGGACCCCTTGAGATTCACAGCTTCCCGAGGCAGGCACTTGTCGGACTCTGCCGCCACGTCTCTAGGGCAGTGCTGGGCCCACGAGCAGCTCAGGACACAGCTGCTGGGGACACGGGGTGAGGAGGTAACCCATGTGTGCCCCCGACCAAAAGCTGCCCTCTCCACCCCTGCAGGCGGGCACTGTGCTAAGAGCTCACCCAGACCACAGGGGTTCGGACAGTGCTGAGGGGACCCGGGTCCCCTCCAGGAAATCATCCAGGGACCCTGGAACCGGCACCTAGAGCTTCAGCCCCGGATCCCGTGGCAAGCCCTGGGGCAGCGGCCTGGGCCTCTGGCCAAGCGGAGCGAGGCTCTGCTCTCTCTCAAACAGGACAGTGACGACCCGGGCAGAAGCACCGTGGGCGCTGCTGCCACGACACGGAGCGCGGCCCTGTCAGCCCTCTCTGGAAGCCAGGTCTGGACGCTGCTGTGTCCCTGGAAGTCTCCGGAAGAGCCCCCATCAGAGCCCGCTGGGACGTGTTTCGGGGGACCCCGTCTGGGCCGGGAGGAACCTAACAAGGCTCAGCTGGGACGCGCTTTCTACCGCACACCCTGCTGGGTGGCCAGAGTTTTCTATTAATAGCTCCAAGCAGAAAGTGCCAAGGCCCAAGCCAGGGCCCTGGCTTTCCCGGGGTGACAGCAGCGTCAAGACCCCTCAGCTTCCGCCTTTCCCCAGACACTACTCAGAAGGGAGAATCGGAACACAAAACACCCTCTCTCTGGGGACGCCTGATGCCACCTGAGGTTGCAAACTGTCATCCCTGGGGAGAGTGGGCAGAGGGCAGTTGGTGTGCAGATGGCAGCTGGGGACGGGGACCGGTTAGAGAAGGCGCTGTGCAGTGACAGGGCCCACGGAGGCTGGCGGGAGGTGCCTGGGACTTTGGCACTAGGGTACAGCGTGAAATGTCCCTCTAGACTAGACTGTGTGACAGCCACCGGGGCAGGGTCCCTCGCCTTCTGCAGGCAAACGTCCCGCCCTGGCATCTCTACCCAGCCCCACCGCGGAAAACGTGAGCCCAGACTTCTGGATACACATTTCTGACACCAGAGAACCTCCTTCCTTTCTCTGGAAATTACTAGAAGATGCTGAGAGGGCTAAGCATGGGATAGGAGGGGCTGAGTGAACTCTGGGAGGAACAAAACTTCTTTTGAAAACAAGAAAGAGGCCGGACGCGGCGGCTCCTGCCTGTAGTCCCAGCACTCTGGGAGGCCGAGGCGGGAGGGTCGCTTGGGCCCAGCCGCTATGAGCTACGATGATGGCACCGAGCTCCGGCCTGGGTGGAAAACATCAAAGATGTTGATCTTTTTCCTAAGAGAAAGGAAACTGTCACTGACGGCTCTGTCTAAACAGCGAGCGGTATTTACCCAGGCCCGGGGCGAGAGCGCTGCCGGGCGCGGCGCTGGTGCCCGAGCGCGCCGAGGGAGGCCGCGGTCAGAGCGGCCGCGCCGGGCTGGGATTCAGGGCAGCTTTTAGAGCAGCGGGCCTCACCCAGGGCCATTCTGCCTCTCAGGGGACACTGGGCTGTGTCGGAGGACATCTGTGGTTGTCCACAACTAGGGGAGCTCCTGGCATGGCGCGTGGAGGCAGACACTGCCCAGCACCCCGCAGTGCCCAGAAAACGACCCGGCCAGTGTGCACAGGGCTTTAGAGCAGGTCCCCTGAGAACACGCATGTGCGATCACTGAGATGAAAAGGAAACTTGGTTTAAAAAGTCCGTGAGGCCCGGGTGCGGTGGCTCACGCCTGTGATCCCAGCACTCTGACACGCCGAGGTGGGAGGATTGCTTGAGGTCAGGTGTTCGAGACCAGCCTGAACAAGAGTGAGACCCTGTGTCTACTAAAAAAAAAACTTAGCTGGCCCACTAATCACAGAAACAAAAAAGTAGCTGAGCTTGGTGGTGGTGCCTGTAGTCCCAGCTACTTGGGAGGCTGAGGCAGGAGGATCACCTGAGCCCAGGAGTGTGAGGTTGCTGTGAGGTGGTAGGCTGACGCCACGGCACTCTAGCCCGGGCAACAGAGTGAAATTCTGTCTCAAAATAAATAAATAAAATAAAAGCAACAAGTCTGTCCGGTTGAAGGGGCACGAAATGACTCACCCGAGGAGGAAGTCCTGGGTCAGACCCCGCCGCGAGGAGCAGCTCTGCTCCCACTGAACAGCCAGAGCCGCTGTGACCACTGAGCCCAAGCAGAGCAGCCGGCAGGGACGCCAGTGCCACCAGGTCAGCAGTTACCAGCAGCCAAGTCCCAGCTGCTGTGCTCTGGGGACCTGGACTAGAGCCCGGACGGCGACCCACGCCAGCAGGAAAGCCCCTCGCCAGGCCGCTGCGCCCGCTGCTGCCCCCAGTGGCCGGCCCACACAGGGGTGGGATTGAGAGGAGCCATGGACTCCCCAGATGGGGAAACTGAGGCCCGTGGAAGGCGCTGGGCCCTGCAGCAAGTCTGAGGCTCCTGGTAGAAGCACCCAGGCCTCCGCGGCTCCCACCAGACCCGAGAGCACTCTGGACGGCTCTGGTCCCCTGGTCCCGCGGTTACCTGGGCCCTTGCCCGAGGCCTCCAGCTTGCGGAGCTTGGCGATCTCGTCCTCGGTGATGGTGGTCATGTCCCGCCAGAAGTCCGCGTTCTTGCCCTGCTCCAGCTCCATGTACACCTGGGGGCGGTGGGGGAAGGGTGAGATGGTGCGAGCCCTCCAGCCTGCGTGCGGCAGGTGGTGGGGCTGGCGGTACCTGGATGTCCTCCAGCAGGTCCTCCATGTCGGCCACGGTGAGGCCGTTGAGGAAGGTGTAGGGCTCGTGCATCTCCACGGCCAGGTCGTCGTCCTCCGCGCTGATGTACTTGGCCAGCAGGTCGATGGGCTTGGCCCGCCCGTCCCGGATGCGGATCTTGGAGCTGCGGGGACAGGGGTGGCGGCGTGAGAGATGGGGGGACACCCTCCATCCTGAAGACACGGGTCAGAGGCTGGTCCCCCAAGGGAGCCCCTTGGCCGGGCAGGCCCGAGCTGGGAGGAGCCTCAGATGCCATCAAGTGTGAGCCCTTTGCTGGGACCGGTGCAGCTGGCTGGCAGATCGGCACGGGGGTGGGGCTGGGGCTGGGCAGTAGCCCGTGGGTGAGGCAGCTGTGGGTTCCGGGCGGGGGAGAGCAGTGCAAAGGACCTGGGGTGAGTGTGAGCTCGCCGTGCGGGGTCCAGGCGGCTAGTGGGGCCCCACGCACCGCAGCTTGGCCTGCTGGAGGTGGAAGTTGTCCTCTTGCTCCTCCCACGTCTTGAAGTGCTCGGCCTCCTTCTCCCGCTGCAGCATCTCCAGCTCCTGCTCCCGCATGGCCTTCTCCCGCTCCCGCTCCAGCCGCAGCTGCTTCACCTGGGGGCGCACCAGGGGGCAAGGGTGAGGCGGGGCGGACGTGCAGACGCATGACGGGGCCCCTGCTGCCCATGGGTCTGTTGGGGTTGGGATACGGACCCAGACCCGGCCCTGCCCACTTGTCCTGGGCACAGAGGTTGGTCCAGGGACACCTGGGACAGGAAGTGTACCCTCTCTCTGAGGGAGGCTCAGCAGCTCTGAGAAGCCGGGCCAACCCAGCCACCTGCAGGGGTGGCTGCAGCGTGAAGCCCCAAGGACACAAAGTCCACAGGGGAGGGAAACAGCCCCTGGATCCAGCTGTGCCTGAAGCCCGCACCCCTGCACTTCCCATGCAAGCTGGCTCCGTCTCGCCCGGCCTCCGGGCCCCGGAGAGGGAGGCCTGGCGCCACACGGGGTGGGGCTCCCACCTTCTGCAGCTCCAGCCGGTTATCTTCCTGGATCCTCTTGTTGCGCTCTTTCAGCTCCTTCTCCTCCAGGTGGCCGATCCCCTTCTTCTCCAGGGCCTGCAGGGCAGTCCACTGAGCTCAGACTCCGCCCGCCCACCCTGCCACCGCCCCAGGGAGCCGTCCACACCTCCCACGCCGGAGAGTGAGTGGCCATTGCAGAGGAGCGAGCTACCCGTGGCTGTGTCTTCTCGCTGCCCCCCAACGTGCCCGAAGCCACTGGGGCCCCAGCATGGGTGAGACGTGGCAAAGACACAGAACAGAGGCACCGACCTTGCCCTGCAGGAACTGCGGCCACCACCACCGGGAGGCTCTGGCCTGGGACCCGCCAACCCGTTTTACACGGAAGCCCCTCGGCGCTGGTGCTGGGAGGGTCAGACCCTCGGTGAGTGGGAACCCCCACCGTGTGTGGGCAGGGCAGGGCGGCGGGGGAACGAGGACGCACGGGGACCAACTTGCCCGAGTCACCACAAGCAGGAGGCAGGGGCTCCCAAAGGCCCAGGCCATGGGGCACCCCCGCCTACGGGCATCTTCTCTCTCCATGTCCTCATGGAAGGCGGGTGCACGGGGCACGGGGCTGCACCTGGTCACCCTGCCCCAGCCTGGAGACCCCACACCCTTGACATCATCTTGTGCTGGCTGCTCAAGCCTGGCGCTGAGCCCTTGCCCCTCACTCATCCCTCCCGGGGGCTCTCAGGATCCCACGAAAAACACGCTTCCAGGGCTACTAGGGCTGCCTGGCTGGGAACCACCCTGCGGATGCTCGGGCCACTCTGTGGTCTCCCCAGGCCCACCTGGGCCACCACCACTCAGGCTAATGGTGGCCACACTTCCCACCTCCCTGCTGCAGAGGGCAGCTGAGGGCACGGGTGCAGGCCCAGGACCCGCTGTGGCACCCAGCACGTGGCAGGCATGAGACACGAGTGTGGTGCTGAGGTCCTGGGAAGCAGGGCCCTGACAAAGGGTAGTGGGTGGCCCTGTGACAGCTGTGACCCAAAAGGTGAGAAGGAATAGCTGTCTAGCTAGAAGCCACCTGGGGATGTCCCAGCTTCCAGCTGTGGGAGCACAAAGCCAGTGTGGGCCTCATCATCTGCTCCCTCCGCCCTCCACTGGGGGGCGCTGGAGTGGGTTGAACTGTGTCCCCCACAAAGCCACGTCACCACACCAACTCCTGCGAGCTGTGACTGTGACCTTATTTGGAATTGGGTCTTTGCAGATGCTGGCTGGTGAGGATGAGGTCACCCCAGAGGAGGCCGGGCCCTGATCCAGTGACTGGCGTCCTTGTAAGAAGAGGGAAACTCAGACACGGGAAGAGAAGGCCCGTGAGCACGCAGATGCTGGGAAACGAGGACCGCAGAGGCCGAGACTGGAGCGACGTGGCCGCGCACTGAGTGACACCCAGGTTTGCCGGCAGCCACCAGAAGCTGTGTGTGTGTGTGTGGGGGGAGGGGCGCAGGAAAGATCCTCCCTGGAGCTCTTGGAGGGAGCCTGGCCCTGTGAACACCTTGATTTCAGACTTCTGGGCCCCCAGAACTGAGAGATGATAAACTCTGTTGTTTTTCTTTATTTTTTTTGGTGACAGAGTGAAAAATCACAGCTCACTGCAGCCTCGACCTTCTGGGCTCAAGCGATCCTCCTGCCTCAGCCTCCTGCATAGCTGGGACTACAGGTGCTATCACACCTGGCTAATTTGTTCTTATTTTTTGTACAGATAGGGTCTTGCTATGTTGCCCAGGCTGGTCTCAAACTCCTGGGGGCTCAAGTGATCCTCCTGCCTCGGCCTCCCAAAGTACTGGAATTACAGTATGAGCCACCGTGCCTTGCCAATTCTGTTGTTTTAAGCCGTGTGCCTATGGCTGGTGCAGGATGAAATGACCAGCTCAGAGATGACATAGTGCCCGTAACCGTGGAACCCTGTCCTGGGTGTGCCATGGACAATGAGAATAAGAACCTCGTCTCCAGTCACGTCTGAGGCTGGGCTGGTGTTCTGGGCAAAGACTGACTGAGTCTCCCACTGCAAGGGACAGTTAATGGCAGCAGGGCTGACGGCGACAGACACTGGGGTGTGGGCACGCGTGTGTGTAAAATGAACTCTTTCACGACAGAGCACAGGCTGGGAGTGTCCGCTGTGAGTGCTAGGGGCTCTCAAACCGGAAGAAATTGTGCAGAGCACACAAAACAGAAGCCCCTAGCGAGGGAGGAAGGCCTGGGGACAGCCCGGTCCCTGACCTGGCGACATGAGTTGCTCACCTTGCTCCAGATGAAGGTGCCCAGGAGGTTGTTGTCTCCGAAGGGGTTGTCGGTGTTGGTGTAGCCCATGTACTCCTCGCCCCAGCCCATCTTCTCCCGCTTCTTCCGCTCTTTGGCCTCCTTCTTGGCGAGTCGCCGGGCGCGCTTCTCCTCGGGCGTCTCAAACGCCTTCATCAGCTCCTCCTGCTGCTTCCGCTCCTCGCGCAGCCGCAGCCGCTCCTGCAAGCTCTGCTGGTGGCTCAAGGCGGCCGCTGCAGCCCGGGGGCTCTGGCAGCGCCCCGAGGACGCGGAGCTGGACCCTGAGGAGCCTGGGGACCAAGAGCGCGTGCGCCGGTGGCGAGCCCATGAGCCCCGCTGCTCTTCACCTGAGTCGGATTGAGAGGACCGGTCCCTCGAGCGCCATCGTGGCGGCTGGGGGCTCCGGCTGCGCCTCCCTGGCCGCTGCCATGGTTCGTCCCCTGAATCTGACCTGCGGAGAGGACCCGCAAAGGCCTGCTTAGCACCTGCTGCTCTGTCACCTGTTCGAGAGATGCTTACTGGGTACCTGCAAGGGGCCAGGCGGTGATCTAGGTTCTGGGGACACAGCAGTGCCCAAAACATTGGTGTCTCCTGCCTTCTTAGTGCGTCCCACCAAGAAAGACATCAATAAATAAACATAGTGTCACACCAGAGACATGAGCCACAACAGCGATGTGGGACCATAGGAGTGGGCTGCACGTTACAGAGGCCAGAGAGGGCCTCTCCGGGGAGGCGACATTGAGCAGAGCCCTGAAGGAACTGGGGGACACAGCTACGGGAGGACCTGGAGGAAGTGCATTTGAGGCAGAGGGAACAGCGAGGGGGCCCGTGTGGCTAGAACAGAGTAGGGGGGAGTGGGAGGAGGTGAGGGCGGAAGTTGACCTGGGGTCACCAGTGCAGGAGTTATATGGGTACAAACCAGAGGACCCGACTACATCTGAGTTGTCAAGGGAGGGCTTTGCAGGTGGCAGCAGTGTTTAAACTGGTCCTAAAGCATGGGCAGGAATCAGGTGGGGTAAAATTGGTAAGAGCAGGGAATGGCGCATCCAAGCCCCTAGGGACAGAGTCTTTAACAGTCAGAGGTCTTTGAATATAGAGAACAAGTACCAAATAAACATAAATTTCAAAAAATCAAGTTTGTGGAAAAAAAAGAAAATAAAAAAAAAGAGAGAGAGAACAAGTACCAAATATTTTGTTAAATGTTCCTGTCAAAAAAATCTAAACTATGCAAACCAATCATTTTGGAGCTCTTAAATATTGCCCACAAACTGGATCAAATTTCCATAAACAGGATCAACTCTGATTATATATCTCATGTGGCTAATCACCACAAATAACTCAGTACCAGAAAAACAGTAGACGAAAAAAACCCACAAAAATGACATTAACGTGACTTACTGCTACACTTGAGCCAATGTTAATATATCAACACCTGGGGCTTAAATAAGGATCAGCAAATTTTTTCTATATAAAGAACCAGACGGCAAAAACTTAAGGAGTTCACAGGCCATATGGTCTAAGACACAACCATTCAACTCTGCTATTTTATCACAAAAGCAGCCATGGACAGTACATAAACAAGTAAGCACGGGTGTGTTCCAACAAAACTACACTTCTGGATACTGCAACTTGAATTTTGTATAATTAATTCTCACATGTCATGGAATATGTGTCATCTTTTGATTCCTCTCCCCCTGCCCCCATTTAAAAATGTAAAAATGATTTTTTGTTCACAGACTGTGCAGTTTGCCGACCCCTGGTTTAAACCATCTTTTTGTTAACTCCATTCTACTACTTACATCTTCCTGGAATTCCCAAGGTGGCAATGACCTTACCAGACTCAGAAGGAAAAGCCACCTTGTGGAACTTAGCATGAAGCTGTGTTTTACTACAGCCACTCTGGCAGAAGGAAAAGCCACCTTGTGGAACTTAGCATGAAGCTGTGTTTTACTACAGCCACTCTGGCTGAAGTCCTGTGCACATCTTAAGGATGCAAGTTAACTTGGGCCAGAGCAGGGCAGGACTGGCCTGATTGTCCCAGCCACTAAGGAGCTGAGCCAGAAATGGGACCCAGGTCTGGGAGTCACGGAGCTGGTTACTTTGTACCAGTGTAGACTCCAGGCAGGTCTGCCCTGGTGCCCTATCTCCAAGGCCGTGGGGAAGCTGAGACTCAGACCCGAGGAGTCAACTGAGTCTTGCCACCTGTCACCGCCTTTCTGTCTTACGCTCCACCTCCGTTAGCAAGTGTCCTCACCTCTACTTCCGAAATCCCTCACACTTTCCCACTTGCCTCCCTCTCACCAAGGCTGCCTTCATCTCTTGTCTATATCATCCTCCTCCCTAGTGCCACTCTTGCCTCCCCCTCAGTCTTTCCTCCACCTGGAAGCCAGAGAAAGGGTGCAAAAGTAAGCCAAACCACGTCACTCTCCCGTTCAAAATCCTCTCGTGGCTCCCCATTTCCCTCAGAATAACGACCAAACTTGGCCACGGCACGCAGGGCTCTATATGATCCATTCCCCGCCGTCCCCTCCAACCACCAGGTGCCCGGCCGGCACCGCCTCTCGCTTTCCCTTCTGCTGCCTGGTTAATTCCGACTCGCGCTCAGACGCCCCTATCCAGGAAGGCCTCCCTGACTAAGTCGAGGCCCTGCCGTCTCCCCGGGCTCTCCACCCCTGGTCGGGAGGTCCAGAGGGCAGGAGCCGGGTCCCCAGCGCGCCCCCGCAGCGACCCCACCTGCGGTCTCGGCTCCGCCGCCTCCGTCTGCGCCGCCGCTCGTCCTCTCGGCGTCGCCGGTCTCGCCGCCCATGGCTCCCGCTCCGGCTCCGGCTCCGGCTCCGGCTCCGACTACCGCTCTGGCTCCGACGCCTTCTGCCCCTACGACCCGCAGACCGCGAGCGCGAGCGTGTGTCCCGACCCATCGGCTGGGACTGTGTTCGCGGCGCCGACACAAACAGCCGGAATCTGCGCCGGGGGCCTTCCTCGGTGGCGGCGCATGCAGGGCTGCCCTATCCACGCCTGAGCCAGAAAAGAGGAACCCACCCTGCCGGCCCAGCCCTCAGGGCTCTGATGCCCTGGATCCATCCCTCGGTCTGCAACTGTGGCTCGCGTGATCCTCTCAGTCGGATTATCCACTCCGAGATGGGGGCGTCGCGCTTCAGGCAGTGCTGGAGGCAGCCCCAGGCGGGTCCTCGCGCCTCAGGGGGCCTGAGGAACTGTGGGCGGGGTCAGGGCAAACCCGAAACTGTGGGTGGGCGGGGCTCGGAGAGGCGGGTCCAAGAGGAGGCGGGTCCAGACAGGGGCGGGGCTCAGTGGCGGGCGTGGTCAAGGAGGCCTGCCCGGGGAGCGAAAGGAAGGCGGGAAACCAGGAAGGTGGTGGGTTCCAGGCAGCTCGGGAGGGGGAGTGGGCGGGAGCGAGAACGGAAACTGAAAAGTCCTGGTTGCTGGGATACGAGCCTCATCCTTATGCCTCCCCACCTGCCCATGAATACCTATGTATTTCCCGAGTTTAGCTTATTTATTTATTTATTTATTATAATTTTTTTAAATAGAATTTTTTCTTTTTCTTCTTTTTACTTTTTTTCCTCCCACCCCAGACTTTGATTTTAGGGTAGAGTTTAGCCTTTTTAAACCACTTCCGTACGATCATCGACTATAGTCGACAGCCACAGATGAACACGCACAGCAACTTTAGCCGACAGCCGTGATATGACTTTTCTAATTTTTCATTTATCAAAATAAAATTGTGAACATTTAAAAATAACATAATAAAAACTTATATGTATATGTCACCTATTCTGATTTACATTACAAGTAAAGCTGCCTGTAAAGTAAAACAAGCTTTCGGTGCTTTAAAGCTTTCCTCATCACACAAGAGCAAAACGGACTCGTCGTCAAGGCACAGCACAGACTATTGCTCGGACACCGAAGTGGTTAAAATAAAAACTTGGATTGGATTCCCTATCACCTCATTTGTAGGTGGGAAACTGAGGCTCAGAGAGGGAAAGTCACCTTAACACCTGCCTTCCTAACCCAGGTCGTCTGGATTGTGCGCCACCGTCCCCACCCCCCTGCCCCAGTTCTAACCACATGGGGCTGGGAGTGCCCGTGCTTGGAAGATGGTATTTAATGACTTAAGCTTTTAAAAATGGTTATTTTAGAAAATGCAACTTCATGACACCTCCCCTAAATGCTGGCTTTGTGTGTTGTACTTGGTGTGAAGGTGAGATCAGAAACCCCTGCCGCTGTCAGTAAGGACCCTGCTGGTCCTGGGAGGTGTGCTGTCATGGTGACAGGTGACCCGGACCAGGAGGAGAGCCTGACCCGGTGATTTTAAGACTTCTCGGCCGGGCGCGGTGGCTCACGCCTGCAATCCTAGCACTCTGGGAGGCCAAGGCGGGCGATTGCTCAAGGTCAAATCAGCCTGAGCAAGAGCGAGACCCTGTCTCTACTATAAATAGAAAGAAATTAATTGGCCAACTAGAAGTATATATATAGAGAAAAAATTAGCCAGGCATGGTGATGCATGCTGGTAGTAGCTCCCAGCTACTCGGGAGGCCGAGGCAGAAGAATTGCTTGAGCCCAGGAGTTTGTTTGAGGTTGCTGTGAGCTAGGCTGACACCATGGCACTCTAGCCCAGGTAACAAAGTGAGATTCTGTCTCTAAGAAAAAAAAAAAAGACTTCTCGTGCGTCCCTGCAAGTATCTGAAAAGATAAGGACATTTGCGATCGCTGGCATGTTCAGCCTGTAAGTTAGCTGTGCCATTTGTGCATCTGCCCGTGTTAAGAACTGCATTTCCGAGGGGCTCCCTTACCGACAGGATCTGACTTTCAATGCAGTTTCTCAAACTGGGAGCCGGGGAGAAACATTTTCACCACAAGGGGTCTGGATGTCACTCAATTTGAGCAACTGTGGCAAAATGAGACACTTTGGGGACTGTTCCTGTGTGCTGGGCTGCACTGATGTCAGCTTCGAAATGTTTTCCAAGCTGAGCTGGGACCGGAAGGAGGCCATAGCTGTTAAGGTGCTGGGGTGCTGTTGCTATTATGATAAATCCCACGAAGGTTGCTTTCCCCTTTGAGACTCAAAGTCCGCCCTCAAACTCCCGCCAGACTACTGGAAGCCAAAGAAGCAAACAGACGCGGGCCAATGCTCAATACCCGATTTATTAGAGATCTCTTCCACATAAAAAGAGGGGGTGGCAGGTATGGGGGGCGGGCAGGGGCCCGGGCTGCATACGAGTGTCATTTGGGGCCAGCGGAGGCTGTTGTTTCAGAGGTGCCCACGGTTCTGGGTTTGAGGAACACGGCGCCCGCGTCTGTGCCACGAGGCTCGGTGCTCCAGATTGTCGCGCGCCAGCCGGTGGGGCAGAGGAATGGAGTGGAATCCCGGTGGGAGTTAAGACACACAAGGTTTGCAGTTTATTTTTGTTTCCGGAATCGGTTCGGCCATAAAAAGGGGTTCGGGGTGGGGACCGGGTGGTGGGATGGAGCCACCAGAGAAAAAGAGACGGAGGGGCTGCGGCGACAGTACCTCGGCGAGGTGCAGGGACGGGAGTATTGCACTGAGCAGGACAGGGGACACGTTGGGATGGCTTCGGGGGGACAGAGGCCGTCAGGGAGTGGGGGACACATGGAAGTTTCCACCTTGTCAGTCTCAGAGAAAACGTGTTTGTGTTTACAGTACAGGAAACAGGACGCTGTCGTGTTCTCAGCGACAGCAGCCATCGGAGACACGAGGCAGGACATGGCGGGGCCTCAGCTGGGTATTTACAGACTCCTGGGGTGGGGACGGCTGGGTGGGTCCAGGCGCCTTCCTCACGGGGGTCTGAGGAAGGCCACACGTTCGCTAAACGTTATAAATAGGTCTTGCCTTCCTGCCCCCGGCCCGGAAATAATAAACGGCCGCCGCCCCTCGCACGGTCTGTAGAATACGGCGGCATCGCTTTGCAGTTCTCTGGAAAGGAACAAAAATAAAAATGCAGCCAACACAAAATGGGTCTCCAACGGGGCCTCAGAGACTTCACACAAAAACAGAAATGTTGTGATGTCCACGGAAGTTTGCAAATTTTTCCTGCGGGTGAAGGAAGGATGGAGCCTCGTGTGTCCCAGGAGTCGCTCAGCGGCGCCGGGGGCCGCCCTGGATGGGGTGCCTGTTGCTCTGGGTCATCCCCAAGGGCTCCCGGGGTCTCTGGTGCCATCCCTGTTGGTCATCCAGGTCCCAGACGCCCCTTCTGACTTCTGTCCCGTCTGTCCCAGGGGCCAGCGGGACGGATCAGGAGGCCGGGCACCAGCGGGTGGGCACTGGGCTGGGCATCAGGGCTAAGGCCCCTTCCCAGGGCTGGACAGATGATCCTGGGCAGGGCGAGGACCCCAGACGGGCTTGTTTGGACCTGTCCTCTGAGCCACCCGGCGGCTGGTCCCTGCTGAGAGCTCTTTCCTTTCCTGGGCTGAGACTTGAGGAGCTGCTTGAGGGAATGTCTGTCCCCGCCTGGGAGAAAGGCCCTGGGGGTGCAGCCTGCTTCTCCAGGCTCAGAGGGGCGCCGGCTGTGGGGGGGGGCGGGGAGGGACCTGAGCAGCTGGCCGCAGCAGCAGCAGCATCGTAGGAGCTTGTGACAGGTTCAAAAGCAATGGAATACCCGAGGGAGGTTCCGGCTGTCCTGGTCCCATGTCACTCTAGTGGGGAGGCAAGGGCTGGAGGAAGATTCTCCCAGAAGGTGCGACTTCTGCTCCGAGCCCGCCCCAGCTCCTCCCATGCTGGGCCGTGTCACTGGGGAACCGTCACCAACACGCCTGTCTCTGGAGTCCCGAGTAATGGGCAGGGTGGGGGCGCATCCGCAGGGGGCGGGTGTCACTGCTCTAACCAGTGCCCTCTGGGTGCAGCGGGGGCCCTGGTGGCCCCCATCGGGCAGCCCATCGGGCTCTGGGCTCCATGGTCCTACCGTGCCCAAACAACGACTCCTCTCCTCCTTTGATCCCCACAGGAATGACATCACTTAAAGTTGATGAAGGAAACACTCCGGGGAGAGGGGTCAACCCTCTAGGCTGTGCCTGGGGCGGAGGAGGCGGGGGTGGCCGTCACACGACAAGGCCGCGTGCCCGCCAGCCCGAGCTGTCTCCGGGACACGGGCTCTCTCTGGACACCCCGTGGCCCGGCTCGGCCTCCTGCTCCGTCTCCGGCTTTGAGGGGGCGTCCCACGTCACTTGGAATGTCTTTGCTGGATGCTGCGTGGTCCACGCTGGGGTAGGGGACACGTCCCCAGCCCCTCGAGTGTGCGTCTGGAGTGTGGGCACCGGAAATTCTTGCTCGTGGGGCCCCTGGGAGGTGGGGTTGGAGGTCTTTCCCGAATGGGGGTGCCTGAGTGGCAGGACACACAGATGCTGAGGGGCTCGGCCAGGCGCGAGCTGCCCTCGAGACCACCGCTGAGAGCAGAGGTCCTGCGCCGAGGCCCCCGAACCTGAGCTGCAGGGGGAAGGGCTGCTTCCGGGTGGGGGGCACCTGCGCTCAGGCACCCCAGTCCATGAGGGACAGAGGCGGAGCGGGGGACCCTGCCGTCCCCTCTGCACGTCACAGGCTGAGGCTCGGAGTGTGATGTTGTCCAGGGCGGCAGGGACATGGGGTCCCGGATCCCGGAAGGTGGCAGGAATGCCCTTGTCCCCCCGAGAGAAACATGCAAGCACAGCAGAGAACCGAAAAGTGCAATGGGATGGAGTTTCTTCTTTTTCCGCTTGTTTTTGTGTCTTTTTTGTTTTTTTCCTAAAAAAGCACACACGTGCTTCTGTCTCTGTGCAAAGAGTAAGGACCCAAAATAAATACATGATTTGACGCTCGGGAAGGTCCCAGTCTCGCAGGTGCAGGCAGCTGACGGGGTGCTGAGCCCGAGAGGCTCGGTGGCCCGGAGCTGTCGGGGCGGAGGGGCTCGGCCGGCGGCGTCCGTCAGGGAGGGCAAGCTGGGCCCGGTGGGTGAGCGAGGTCCGGCGGGGTGTCCCCAGCTCTGGGCCGCAGCTGGGCGGGCAGCGCCGCCAGAGAGCGGCCAGGCGGCGGGCGCTGGGCTCCGGGTGGGGACTGCATAGAAATTACTGCAGAGGGAGAGGGGCGGGTGAGGCCTGCGGCCGCAGTGAGAGGACTCCCCCGGGCCACCCACTGGGCGTCCTGCCAGGGGCCGTGTGCTCCCACAGGCCTCGAGACGCTCGCAAAACGGTCACTGCCAACTCAGAGAGCCCAGGGCGGGGCTCCGGGCCACCCGCGCCCTCCCACCCCGGCCTCAGTTTCCCGGCCTGTCCCTGGGCGCCTGGGGCCTGCGCTTGCGGGCCTGGCCCGGCCGCACTTACTGTGTCGCTCTCGCCGTCGGAGGCCGGCTGGGCCTGCGCGCTATAGTGGAGCGGGGAGTACACCCAGCTCCTCTCGTCAGTGGGCTGCGGCGGGCGGGCGTGCAGGAGGGGCGCGGACAGCAGGGTGCGGGAGGCAGACAGGACAGGGAGGAAGGAAGAGACAGGAGAAAATAAAAGAGGCGGGTCCCCCACAGGCGGGGCGGGCTCGGCCCCGCCGCCCGCTCTGGCCGCACACCTGCCCCAACCTGGGCGGCCTGGGCCTCGGCGCAGCGGGCGGCGGGCAGCGCTAGTGCGGTCAAGGCAGGCCTGGGACAGCGGGTGACAGAGACAGGCGGGAAAGGGGCGGGGTGTGACCTGGGCCACCGTGTCCTCCTCCTCCTCAGCCCGGCGCCACCCTGCCTGTGACGACGGGGTCCTGGGTGCTCGGGTGCCCACCCTGTTTTCCAAGCACCTGGAAGCCTCTCGGGACGTGGCCCCGGCACTCGTGGTGGCCCCGTCCCTGGGCCCTGCCAAGGGACAGGCCGACGGTCCTTCCGGGTCCTGGCATGGGTGAGGAGGGGGCTCCTCTGGCCCCGCCCCGCCCTCTGGGTCTGCTCCCACCTTTCCTGCTCCCTACCTGGGGCTGCCAGCCCCGCCCTGCGCCCCGCTGCGAGCTCTCCCGGCCTCGACGCGCACCTGCTCCCCGCATCCACCAGGGCGTCCCTCGGCCCCCGAGCACTTGTCGTGGCCACAACCCAGCCCGCCCCTCCTCCGTCCGGTCTGGACAGCTGTCCCCTGGCGGTCTGGCCGCCTGCGCCTGGTCCTCCTTCTCTGCTGGGGTTCCAGCCACCGCAGGGGCCACCCGTCCGCCTGTGCCGGGGCCTCTGTCACCCGCTGGTGTCTTTGCAGCCTTGAGGAAGGCCTCCTACCCCCGGGCTCCCTGCCTCTACTTGCCTCAGGCCAGCTCGAGACTCCCTCTGGCCCGGAGACCCCCCCACCTGCCCGAGCCCCGTCACTGTCACCGGCGCAAGTCCCTGGGCACCATGCAGCTGGCTCCGCCCAAGGATGGCTCAGGCACCGAGGCACGGGGACCGCGGGTGCAGCCTGCTCGCTCCTCCAGACGATCGCGAGTGCCTGGCGAAAACCCCGCCCGGGAGCAGGGCTGCAGTCTGCCCCCGGCCCCCAGCCGGCATGGGCCGCACCCATGGCTCCCCGGGCACCACAAATGTGGGCCCAGAAAGGGTCCCCACCTGGACCTGGACCTTGAGGAAGGCCGGCAGCGGCCATCGGCCCAGGAGCCACTCCAGAGCCGCCCTCCAGGAGGGCCACCCCAGCCGGCTGGCAACCGCCCCAGGGCGGGCACGGCGTACAGCTACACTTGCCACACGCTGGTTAGGGCAGAACAGCAGCCTCCCAGTCCTCCAGCAGCGGGGACAGAAAAGGCCCCTCAGTCCCAGCGGACAGGGGAAGGCTGGGTACAGCAGCAGCAGGACCGGAGACGGGCTGACCCCATGGGGAACTGACCTGGGGGCATGTCCCTCCGGCCGCTGCCACCACGCTTTGCCTCTGCCTCACCAGCACCAAGACCACACTCTCCCTATTCTAAATCAGGGTATTTTTGTTTTGAGACACAGTCTCACTCTCTTGCCTGGGCTAGAGTGAGTGCCGAGGCGTCAGTCTTGCTCACAGCAACCTCCAACTCCTGGGCTCAAGTGATCCTCCTGCCTCAGCCTCCCGAGTAGCTGGGACTATAGGTGCCACCACACCCAGCTAATTTCTTTCTATTTTTTAGTAGATATGGGGTCTTGCTCTTGCTCAAGCTGGTCTCCAACTCCTGAGCTCAAGCAATCCTCCCACCGCAGCCTCCCAGAGTGCTGGGATTACAGGCGTGAACCACCACGCCTGGCCTAAATCAGGTATTTTTCAAAGTCCAAGGCAGCCCCTCTCTGGGCAGCCTCTGTAAACTGCTCCGCGCTACCAGGTGACCCGGCGGGGTCGAGGTGGGGGGTTTTGGGGGTGCTCACTCAGCCCCTCCCCCTCCCAGCAGAGCCCTAGAGCAGCTCCGGGATCAGCTCTGGGTGCCCGGCCCCCACCCCAGCGGACTTCCTGCTGCCTGGAGGGCGCTGGGGAGGTGGCCTCCACCTCTGGGGTCAGCCCTGGCACGTGGCGCTCCGAGGGGCCTGCAGATGGGGCCGGGTTGGAGGTGGCCCCAGACGGGGCCTTGTAAGAACAGAAGCTCCTGCTCCAGGCCTGCGCCTGTCCAGCTGTGCAGCGCCAGGCAGTTCCCCAGCCCCTCTGGGCCCTTGATCACTGTTCTCAGTGACAACAGGCCCCGAAGCTACGTGGGAGACACATGGCTCCCATGGCTCGCCCGGAGGGGAGCTTTGGGGGAGTGTGGGCCTGGTTTTGTCTAAAGTGTGTGCTCCTGCAGGCTCCCAGGGTAGTGAGGCCTCGGCTTCCCTGCCTGTGGAATGGGTGTGGAGACGGCAGCTCCTCCCCACCTTGGCAGCCCTCAGGTGCTCTGAGCTTGTGACGGTCCCTGTGCAGCGGGGCAGACAGGCCTGGTGGCTGGGGACAGCCCGGTCTGGGCCAGCGGGAAGGGTCCACCCGGCGCACCCTGGCAGGGCAGGGCTGGCGAGGGGCAGAGGTGCCCCCGAGCCTCAGCCCTGCGCTGTGACGGTGTCCCCGTGTCAGGTGCCACTTCCACGCGGGGCTGAGCAACATGCTCCTGTGACGCACGCAGCACAGCGCCTGCCGGGCCAGCGCGGCAGTTTTCCCAGCGTCCCCTCGAGGACGGGAGATGCCGGGCGCCGTGTTTCGGGCCGGGGACCTGCGGCTCCCGGCTGCCCCAGGCGGGCGCTGCCCTTGTCCCCGGGGTGGCCGCTGCGGTCACTTACAATGCCCGAGGAGCTCGGCGTCACGGCCCGCAGTCGGCGATGGCGGGGAGAGTAAATCCAGTACCTCCCATCCGTGAACTGCACGGGCGGCGGGCCGGCGCGGAGGGAGGAAACAGAGGACACGGATGAGGCCACGGGAACCCCTCCGGGCGGAGAGAGGTGGTGGGAGACAGCGAGGCTAGAGGCTGGGCACGGGCGACTGCCAAGCGGGAGGGGTGCGGGCGGGGGTCTGGCCGAGGCTGCTCCCTTCTCTGCGGCCCACCCAGGTGTCAGGACTGACACGCAGAACCCCCCAGCCACCCTGCCACCAACAAGAGACCAGGATGCGCACCGACCAAGCCTGGGGACGGGTGATGACGGGTGGCGGGACAGGCACGTGGTCCACTCACCCTCCTCCAGGGCCAGGAGGGGCGCAGAGCGGGGCTGCTGGTCATGCGGCCACTGGGCGGGCACCCCCAATGCAGCCCCGCCCCGCCCCTTACCTGGGGCTGTCTGACCCCGAGCAGCGGCCCCAGGACCTGCTGCTGGGACTGGACGTCACAGGCCTCCCTGGCCGCCCCGCAGCCGCCTCACCCAGGCCCCAGTGAGGGGAGGAGGTGCCGTGTCCCCAAAGCCAGGCACACCCCGCCTTGTGCAGGAGCAGTGCCTGCCCTGGCTGGGGAGCCTGCCTGCCACAGGCCCGGTCCCCTGGCCCTCCTGAGGGTCGCAGCCCACCCAGCCACACCCCCAAGAGAAGAGAAGACCCCGGCACCGCTGGCATGCCCGGCCACCAGGCAGCCGGGGACACGGGCCTCGGCCCCTGCCTGGGCCTCCCTGTGGGGCTGAGCGTCTGAGGGCTCCGGATGGTTCCCAGGGAGACGGAGGGACACGGCTGCGGCCACGCCGTGGTTAGTGGCCAGGCTGTGGTCACAAGGCTGGGAAGTGGGGGTGGGGCAGCCCTGGGGTGGCCTGGCTGGCGAGGGGCCGACCCGCCCTGCCTGGCAAGACGAGAAAGAGAAGGCGGGTGCGAGCGCCTGGCGGGCGTGTGTGCTGACGGCGGGCACGCGTGTGCCCGGCTGTGGCGCACAGCGGACAGGTCCGTGGATGGCCGGGGGGAGCCGGGGACTTACAAAGTAGATGTCCGTGGCAGGCGCGTCCTCCTCGTCCGAGGCCTGGCTGGCGGGTTCCGAGGCCTGGCTGGCGGTTTCCGCTTCGACAGCAGCAGAGGCACCGGCCAAGGACGCCTCCACCCTGGGGACGGCACACAGGGAGTCCCGGGCGGCTCGGGCCGCACCTGCCCTCCCGCCCTCCCTGCCCCCGCAGGGGCTCGTCAGGTGTCACAGCTGAGATGAAGGACTCGGGCGGGTGCCTGCCGTGGGCTGTCTCGCGCAAAGCGGAACAAGAGAAAACGTCACAACTAACCCCAGCAGACGCCGCCCCCAGGAGTGCCCTGCCAGCCCAGTGACCGGCCTGTGCAGCCCGGGAGGTCACGTTCCCTCTCGGAGCCTCGGCTTGTCTTCCGGAAGGAGGGGAAGCAGGGCACCTGCCCCAAAGGGTGGCAACCTCTTTCTCCTTTCCATCGGACACTTAGTGCCTGCCAGGGCTGGTTCTAGAGCCTTCTGTGAATGAACCCAATGACCTCCGTCACGGGGGTGGGGAGAGGACACTGCTAACACCCCTCTGTTACAGATGAGGAAACTGAGGGACAGAGAGGAGCTGAGGAATGTGCTTGAGGCTGCAATGTCCCTGGTGGCCAGGGGACAGGCGCGCAATTTTCTTCTCACGAACGGCACTAAGGACTTGTTCTCCTGCTGTCTGAGGTTCAGCTGTTTTTGGCAGAGACGGAAATCTTACACTGCGAGATTCGGCTAATGGCAGAGTGGATGGTACCAGGACGTGTGTGTGCATGTCTGCGTGTGCATCTGTGTGCATTACGTCTGTGTGCATGCAGGTCTGTGCGTGTGTGCACACCTCTGCGTATGCATGTGTACATGTGTGTGTGCATGTGTGTGCATGTACGTCTGTGTACATGCAGGTCTGTGCGTGTGTGCACACCTCTGCGTATGCATGTGTACGTGTGTGCACATGTGTGCATGTACGTCTGTGTGCATGCAGGTCTGTGCGTGTGTGCACACCTCTGCGTATGCATGTGTATGTGTGTGTGCATGTGTGCATGTACGTCTGTGTGCATGTATGTCTGTGTGCATGCAGGTCTGTGCGTGTGCACACCTCTGCGTATGCATGTGTACATGTGTGTGCATGCGTGTGCATGTACGTCTGTGTGCATGCAGGTCTGTGCGTGTGTGCATACTTCTGCGTATGCATGTGTACATGTGTGTGCATGCGTGTGCACTGTGTGCGCGTGCACGCACATCTGTGCGTGTATGCATGCGTGTGCGCACGTGTGTGTGTGTGCGTGTGTTTAAAATATGCTCCCAGTGGCAAAGCCAGCCTGGGAATCTGCTGAGAGTGCTAAACAAGGTCTCTGGGAACAAAAATAAAAGAAGCATCTAAAGCAAAAATCATTAGAAAGGCAGGAGTCTGCCAACACAGTGACAGAACCGCACACACCGACGAGACGAGACACAAAGGAGCCGGATGATGACAGTGGACAAACTGGCTCCCAGGAAATGTTCGGAGCCTAAAGAGAACGTGCGCTTCATTCCACACGTCTGTGGACATTTCAAACAGTGGCTTTGAACTTGACCATCAGGATTTTGTTTTTTTTAATGACATAAATTTTTTTAATGCTACTCTGTTCAAATCAAAACTCAATAAAATTAAAAATAAATATTAAAAAGGTGAATAGATAATATCCTTAAATACTTGGAGGTTCAGAGACGCTCAACCCTGCCCTGGGTGCTGTGACAGGGGCCGGGTCATTCTCTGGGGAGGGGCCGTCCTGGGCCTGCAGGTGCTGAGCGGCGTCCCTGCCCCCACCTACCCCATGCCAGGAGCTCCCCCTACGGAGCCGTGACAACCACAGATGCCCCAGACATCACCCAGTGTCCCCTGGGGGTAGAATCCCCTCCAGCCGGTTGAGAACCACTGCCTTCGATCAAAGGAGGAATTAAAAGCAAATTCATTATCTGCACGAAAGAATTACCCTGTGCTAAACCTCCCATGGCGCTGGCTCTCCCAGGCCCACGACAGGTGCCTCGACCTCCCACTGAGCGGTACTCACCCCGTGTCCTCCTTGGGGACCACGATCTCCACACTGCACGTGGGCTCCACCTGCACCGTGACCTGCTGCAGGTCTTCTTCCACATGTGGCTCCTCCTGGGGCCTGGAGGCAAGGGGAAACTGAGCCTTGGTTTCCCTCCTCACTCCCCTGCCCCCCAGGAGTGCCTGCCGGATCCCAGGTCCAGCCCTGCTGGGGACCTGGGAGCCTCCAGCCTCAGCCTGGTCCCTCTGGCTGTCATACTCGGCTGGGGGTCTGAGAGGGGAGAGAGGCTGCCACCCGGGTCCCTCCTGTGACTCTGGCACCTGGCAGGGCCTGGGGTATAGCAGGTCCCCAGGGCACATTACGGAATGAGCAAATGGCAGCCCCAACATCAGCGGGTGTCCGGGATGCTGCCTGCAATCCTGGGGATGCTTGAGCTTGGAAGCTGAGACCCTGATGCAGGCTGCTGGAACATTCCGGCAGCAGACCTGGGCATGCATGTCCTCTCTGAATGGCAACCTGAGAGTAGAAAGGCTGCTGACTTGGGAGCGGGTAGCTGGGCAGAGGGAGAGGGGCTTCCCACTGCTGGCCCCCGGAGTTTCTTCCATTAGTGATTAAAAACTGATGAAGGGAAAACAGTACCTATTCACTGCCCTGGCGTTAACAAGAACACTCCTGGGAACCACCGGATGTCCCCAGAGGGGCTGCCTAAGTAAGATGAAAGGAAGGGCGCGGGCAGTCCCACACCAGCTGGGAGGATCTCTGCCTACCAGATGACAAGAGCAAGGTGGGGTGGCTGCAGAGACGCCTCCGTTCGTGTCAAAAAGGAACCACGAGCCTGGGTGTATGCTCTCTGTGTACTCACAAAACTCCTCTGCGGAGACACAGAACCCACGGTCCCGGGGCTGCTCCCGGGGAGGGGGTTGGAGTGGGCAGGAGGGAGGTGTTTGGCCACATTCCCTCTTGTGCTTTTAAGTTAAAAAAAATTTAGTAGAAGAAAAAAGAAGAATGGACAGGCCAAGCTGCCTCAGGTCCCCGGGGCCCCAGGCCGGAAGAAACAGGCAAAGCGCCTCGGAGATTCCATGCAGTTCTGCAGCCTGGCGGGGACTTGCACCTGTGCCCGGGACAGAACGGTCAGACGCACAGGGGCTCTGGGTGGGGAAACGGGGGCTCGGGGCTGCACAGGACGCCCGGTGAGACTGAGGACAGGGCAGGGGAGGGGGCCAGGGTCTCACCTGCTATCTTGTCCAGACGACTGCGTGCGCCGCCTGCAGAGAGACCCCAACAGGTGAACCGTTAGTCCCTGCCCGCCTACCGGCTGCCACTCCTAGTTGCCCCACCCACCTGCTCTGGCCCCGCCCCCTGCCCCGGCCCCGCCCACCTGCCCTGGCTGCCCGGCCCACCTGTACCGGGGCTGCTCTGACGTCTCTGATGGGGAGCGCTCTGGGATGGAGAGGGAGGTGGACGACAGGGTCGTGGCGATGGAGGCCGTTGTGGCTTCTTCAAAAGAAGGCGGCGTGCAGGGCAGGAGGTCGGGCCGGCCTGCAGGGAGAGAGTGGTGGCACCAGGTGGAGCTGCCGGCCCCTCCACGCAGCCCCATCCATTCCCCTCCACTCGCTCACCCTCGAGCTGCTTCCTGCTGCCCCTGCGCTCCCACCTGCCTCCCTGAACAGCTCTTCCCAGGGCAAATGAGGGTGCATTTCCCCCGTGTGCAAAGGCTTCCAACAGCTTCTTACAGCTCTCAAAACAGAATCGAACCCCGACAGCTGGAGGGCCCTCCCCTCTCCCCCTTGCACATCTGCTCCAGCCACTTGGGTCCCCTGGCTGTGCCTCCAACATGCAGGCAGAGTCCCGCCCCAGGGCCTTTGCACGGGCTGTGCCCTTCCTCCATGCTGTTCCCCAGCCTCTCCCTGCCTTGACCCCTAGGGCTGGGAGGGACCTTCTGGACACCCCTGTGACAGTTACTGTACAGGAGGCTGTCACCTTCCCGACGGTGCCTTCTGTGCTCAGCTCTCCCTGCGGCTCTTGCTGTGGACCCAGGCCCAGCTCCTCTCTCCCTGGCGGCTGTCTAGGTCCCTGTGGTGGCTGTGAACCCCCCACCCCTGGGGGCAGGGCCCAGCCTCCGGAAGCCTCGAGTGGGCCTTGCAGCCCCCAAGCGCACCTGCCCTCCGGCTCACCTTCGTCCTCCAGCGTGGGGTAGCTGCGGGCCCCCCGCAGGTCGTACTGCGCGTCCTCCCGCTCGCTGGGGATCTGGCTGGCGGAGAAGGCGGCCATGGGCCCGAGGGGCTTGACAGCCAGCAGGGCGCCGCGCCCCTTCTTGGACGGGGACGACTTCAGCGCTGTGGAGGGCAGAGGGCGGGTGGGTGCTGGTGCTCAGGGCTGCCGGCCGTGGCAAAGCCCAGGCGGGACCTCCCAGGTCCTCCCGCGCACTCGGCCTGGTCTGCACGGCACCGCCCACCACACCACCTGCCTCGGGGACCCTCTGCCTGCAGGCCAGGGGAGCAGCAAGGCCGCTTCAAGCAAAGCCGGCTCTGCCACGGGGGCGCTGGGGAGCCGTTGCGCGGCCCGTCCACACGACTGTCTCAGATGAGACTCACGGGCCTGCATCTGCCCCGCCCAGGGCCCTCCTGACATGAGGCAGAGGCAGCCACCACGCCAGCCAAGCTTGCTCGGGCCGTCCCCTTCTGCTCTCAGCCCCGCCCTGGCAGTGCTCCGGTTTTCAGTCGGCTCGGCCGTGGCCCAGTGGGAAGAACCTGGTGGCTGTGTGACCTGGGGACTCGGCTCGGCCCCGCAGGTCCCAGGGCAACCACAGGCTTGGGGGCCAGGTGACACTCTGCTGTCCTCACTGCTCTGTTCTTAGAAGGCAGGTGGCACTGCAGAGCCCCGGCACAGGGCCTGCCGCCCTCGCTGCTCACCAAGCCCTTGCACCTCTGCCCCCAGAATGGCCCGGCACAGCTCCTGCTATACAGCAGGCGCTCAGTTTGCCTTGCGACACCGGCACCGGGGAGGACGGCCCGGGCCGTGTGTGCTGCGAAGCCTTAGCGACCGGCTGACTGGCTCTCTGAGACACAGCCGGGCTGCGTGCTGGCCGCCAAGTCCCACGGTGGAAACTACGAGGGGAGGCCCCTGCCAGGGAGCTGGCTCTCGACCTGGCCCCAGGGGGCCGCGCCTGGCCCCGGGCTGGGAGAGTGGGCCCTGTCTGTGGGCGCCGGGCGCCGGGCGTGCCGTCCCTGCCGCCTCCTGGAAGAGACCTCCCAGTGGGCGCGCCCGTGAGGACAAGGCTGGGACGGCAAGGCCTGCCCGAGCCCACTCTCCCGCCGCAGACGCTGGCTGAGCGCCCCTGCGAGCCGGCCTGTGCTGGCGATCCCCGAGTCCCGCCTTCCCGCCACTGCTCGCCCTGTGACCTCCCCGAGCACACCCTGCGGCTGGCGGCCGCCTCCCTGGCCCCCTAGTACAGTGACGCTGTGGCCGGCTGGGCCCGGCCCACCCGTCCTGTGTACAAACACACTGCACCCTCCCCCCCCATGCAAGTGTGGAAACCGAGGCACAGACGGGTGCTATTGCTCAAGACCACAGGGCCAGGCTGGGACCACGGCAGGATTCAGGAAGCAGGCTCTGGACCCCTGCCACGCTCCGTGCCGGGCAAGCACCCCCCGACCCTGTTCCCTGGGAGAGGCCCCTGGCCCGGGGCAGGACGAAGGGGCTCCAGCCCCAGTGCCCCGCACCTGGCTCTGGGCCCGCCCCCACCGTGCCCTCCCGCCCCACAGGCTCTGGCGGCTTACAGGAGTTCTTCCGAAAGACCGTGTTGCTCATGAACTTGAAAAAGCGCTCGGCGTAGAAGCTGGGGCGGTGGACGGAGACCGTGTCCTAGAAGAGAGCAGGGTGGCGGGGCAGAGGGTGTGTCGGCAGCCGAGACGGCTCTGGCTCTGCCAGGGCGGCCCCGGACACCTGCTGTGTGCTGGGCGAGGTGGGGGAGCCACCTCCGTGTATAAAGGAAAGAGGTGGGCCCATGGAGCAATGGCTTCCTGGAAGGGGACCCAAGGAACAGGTGACAGTGGTTCCCTAGGGGGACGGAAGCCGGGTGGCAGGGAACAGGGTGGGAGGGAGACTGTTTTCACTATAAACCCATTTGTATTGTTGAACCACTTTTGAAACCATGTGAATGGTACAAAGAAACCGGAGGATTTCTCTGAAACAGGGGTTGGCAAAGTCTGGCCCCTTGCCTGCGTTGTCAATAAAGTTTTATCGGCACCGCCTCGCCTGCTCCTGCACATTTCTGCTTCGTCCCTGGCTGCTTTTGTGCTCCGAAGGCAGAGATGAGCACAATTGGAGGCTGGTATCCTCCAGGCCAGGCCGACCTGAATGCCCCCGACCTGGACATTAGGTGGGGGCCCAGCACCTGGGGCCAGTGTGCTCTGCGAATGCCGAGCCCCTATGGCAGACACTCCTTACTGTTCCCGGGATCAGTGTCTTTGTCGCCCATGACATGGTTCTCAGCTTTGGCACACCTGACATTTTGGGCTGGATCATTCTTGGGGCTGGGGCCATCCTGGGCATGCAGGTGCTGAGCAGTGTCCCTGGTCCCCACCCACTCCGTGCCAGGAGCACGCCCAGTGTGACAACCACAGATGTCCCCAGACATGGCTCAGTGTCACGGGGGAGGGGCAGGATCACCTGGCTGAGCTCCCCCTAACTCTGACGTAACAGAATCTCTCTGGACACACGGCCTTCCAGAAGGAAAACATGTTCCCAGTCTCCCCTGGGTAAGGCGTGGCCAGGAGCCAGTGCCTCGTGCCTTCCTCCAGCTGGGGTGGGACGTGATAGTCGGGCTAGAGGGCAAGGACAACCCCAGGGGTGTGGACCAGGCCACCTCTCCAGGACCACACAGCTCTCCTGTCTGCATGGGTAGTGGGACCTTTTTTTTTTTTGAGACACAGTCTCATTCTGTTGCCGGGCTAGAGTGAGTGCCGTGGCGTCAGCTTAGCTCACAGCAACCTCAAACTCCTGGGCCCAGGCAATCCTCCTGCCTCAGCCTTCCAAGTGGCTGGGACTACAGGCATGCGCCACCATGCCCGGCTAATTTTTTAAATATATTTTTAGTTGTCCAATTAATTTGTTTCTATTATAGTAGAGACGGGTCTCGCTTTGTCAGCTGGTTTCGAACTCCTGACCTTGAGCAATCCGCTCGCCTAGGCCTCCCAGAGTGCTAGGATTACAGGCGTGAGCGCCCGGCCCAGAAATGTCTATTGAGATCCCTGGCTCATTTTGTAATTGGGTTATTTGCTTTTTTATTATGAGTTGTAGGAGTTCTTTATATATTTTAGATGTGCATCTTTTACTAGATATATGATTTACAAATATTTTCTCCCATTCCAAAGTTTGTATTTTCAGTTTCTTGCTGGTGAAGCACAGAAGTTTGAAGCACAGATTGATGATTTTTAAAATCGGCCTCCCAGAGTGCTAGGATTATAGGCGTGAGCCACCGTGCCCGGCCAGTGGGACCACCCTGACCTTCCCCAAGTCCAGAGTGCTGACCGCTACGGCACGGGGCACCTGGCCTCGGAATGCACATTCACGAACGAATGAAGGAAGGTTCTCACCCCGTCGTGTACGAGAGCCTTCCAGGTGTGTTCCAGCTTCTTGATGAACCTGCAAAGAGAAACAATTCCGGGACGTTGGCCTATATCAGCCAAGCCCTCCGGTCCAGCGGGTCTCACCAGGGCGACTCTACTCCCCCCGGGGACACTGGGCCATGTCTGCAGGCATCTGTGGTTGTCAACTCAGGGCAGGGGACAGCTCCTGGCCTGCAGGGGGTGGAGGCAGGGACGCTGCTCAGCACCTGCAGCACCCAGGACGGCCTCTCCCCAGAGGACGAGCCGACCACTGTCCACAGTGCCGGGGGAGACCCTACTCTAGAGGGACTGAGACTGCAGCTGCCGCGCCAGCTAGAGCCGGAGCACCCTCGCTCTCTCCTCAAGGCCCAGGCTGAGCCCAGCCCTCTCCACTGCCTGGTGCCGCCCGCCAGGCCGCTCCTGCAGGAGGTTCCCAGACAGCCCCGTCCCCCGGCTGGAAGGGAAGGTTCGGCACAGCCTGGGCCTGGGAGGAGCTCGCGGCTGGCTGCCTGGGACCTGGTGGCCTCTGTCCCCCTTACCCTGAGCTACCTAATCCTGCTCCTGTGCCCAAGGCAGGACCCTGTGGGGCACACGGCCGACTGTCCGGAGGGAAAGGCGACAAAACGTGACCAGGAGGGCCCGTTTTGATGCTTCAAAAAACAGAAGCTCCAAAGAAACCGCCAAACAGGGCAGCTTCTTGGCCACTCACAGCCTCTTCTGCGCCGTGTCTGAAAGGTTCCTAACAAGCACGTGTCACTCTAAGGATAAGAGACTGACACGGGTAGGAGCTCACTGCTGGAGGCTCAGGAACAGCCGTGGCCCTGGCTCTAGGCGGCTACGGGGAGGCTGGGCTGTCTGTTCCTTCCGGGTTTTTCCAGCACGTGACCACGTCCGAGACTGCACAATTATGAAATCTGGTGTCATGTGACAGCGGGTCAAAGACTTCGTGGCCCAAAGTGAGAGTTTCTAGAACCCAGTCCTTGGCTTCTCTAGAGGCCTGGGGGCACCTGTGGGGCGGGGCAGGGGCAGCGGGGCAGGGGCAGCGGGGCAGGGGCGGCGGGGCGAGGCTCGGGGCCGGCTCGTGCGCACCTGTAGGACTGCAGGATGTCGATGATGCCGATGTGCAGCAGCAGCCGCTCCCCGCGCCCGTTCACGGCGGGGATCCCGCCCATCCTGGGGAGAGAGGCCGGGTCAGCAGCCCGCACATCGGGAGGCTCCGGGCTCCGGGACCCACCTGCTCACGAGGGTGGCAGCTCAGCTGGGCCCCTGGAGCAGGCCCCCGGCACCTGAGGGCCTCCGTGCTGATGCCCTCCCCGTGCCGCCCACCTCCTGGGCCCAAGCGGGCCGTGCGGTGCTGCCCAGCGCCCCGGCTGGGAGACCGGGCGCATGCCCCACGCACGGGCCATGCACAGACACACACAGGCACGCCCCGCGGCCCGGAGCTCTCAGCTGCAGCCTGGGAGTTAACTGCGTCCCGTCCCGCACCGCCGGTTAGTGAGGCCACACGATGCAGCAGCCAGCTGAAGCCACCGCGGCCCGACACACTGGGCCCAGGCTGGCGCGCCCTGCGCACTCACACCACGCCGCTGGCTCACCTGCTCCCAGACAGGCCCCACGCAGACCCTACAACGCCAAGAAGGTGTGAGGGGCTGCGCGGGACCCCTGCACAAGCTGCTCCACCCCTGCCCGCGCCAGGGCCCCTGGCCCAGCCCTTTCTCTGTCCCCATCAAATGATGGCCCAGTGCCACCACACCAGCTCCCGGGGCCAGGGTCAACCTAGGCTCCGTGCCTAGCTGCCACGTGCTTAGGACGGCTGCCCCCACCTCGGAGCCTTTGTTTCCTCAGCCGGAAATGGGGGACGCCACCTGTCCCCTCCAGGGCCCACAGGGCCTGAACAAGGTGACACAAGCGGAGGCTCCATTCCTTCATGGCTGGTGCACAGTGACCAGGCTCTGCTGTGACCAGGGGACACTCCTGACACTGCTGTACTGTCAAGCTGGCCCACCCTGGGGACACCAGCAGTGGCTGGGGCATCTGCGGTTGTCATGGCTGGGGAGGGGGTGGTCCTGGCATGGAGTGGGCGGGGGACGCCGCTCAGCACCCCAGAGAGCCCAGGACGGCCCTGCCCAGAGAATGACCTAGCCCCGACATCCACAGGGCCCAGGGAGAGACCCTGTGAGCGTCTCCCCACCAAACCCTGGGCCCCCGAGCGAGGCGCCAGGATGACCCTTCTCCCCGCATCCAGCACAGGTGCTCTGGGCAAGCGCTCCCCCGAGCCGGCCCCTTCCCCGCTGCCCTCTGAGGGCACACCTGTGGCAGCTGCCTTCCGTCTCTGTGCAAGCAGATTCCTCAACCCCACTGCTCTGCGGGTTTTGTCTCTTGCCACGAAAGCTCTACCTCGTCCCCAAATCCCCCACAACTCCCCATGGCCTTCCTGCGCCTTCCGCCTTGCTCCACACGGCGGCTGCAGCAGAGGGAGGCGACCTGCGCCCTTGTCATGGGCATGGCCGATGGCCTCCACCCACCCACCGACGGGTCTGAAATGCCCGCTGTCACACGCCAAGGCCCGTGGCCACCTGTGTTCAGCCTCCTGACCTGCAGGACGGGCTGGGCGCGGGAGCAGCTGCCCATCCCGCCCGAGAGCCCGGCACAGATGGGCTGCTGGGCTCTCTGCAGAGAGCCCTGTCCATCACGGACGCCCTCGCGGACCCAGTGCCCCCTCGCCTGCCCTCACCTGCAGGGGAGGACAGGGCCACCCAGGGCTGGAGCCGCTGGGGCCAGGAGAGGGGACCGCACTAGAGCTCCCCGCCCACCTACGTGTCATCCGACTCGATGGCCTCCCCGCGCGCGGCCCCGCCCTGGATGGACTCCATGGCCGTGGAGTACAGCGCCTTCTGGCCCACCGGCCTCTTCTCGTCCGAGGTGCTCTGGGCGCCCTGGGCCTGGCGCTCGCGCTCCTGCAGGTCGAGGTTGTGCACGCCCAGCAGCAGGCTGTAGTCCATGATCTTGAAGCTCTCCAGCACCTGCGGGAGGGCGGGCCGTCAGCCCCGTCCCCACACCCCAAACAGGGTGCACTCGGGTTTGGGTGACCCATCCCACGCCACGCCGGGGCCCGGTTATCCTGGGGGACTGGAGGGCCCGGGTCACCCCAGGCACCAGACCCAGATGCTAGGCCCTGGAGTGCGGCTTCTGACCGGACGCCAGGCCGCCCTGGGGCTGGGACAGGGACTTTTTGGGACTTTCCAAGAGAAAGCCTGAGCCTACGCTCCCACTACCCCAGGTCCCGAGGGCGAGGACGTGCTCTGGCTGGAGGGGCAGAGCCCAGGCTGTGGACACCCAGGGCTCAGGGCCAGGCCAGGGAGCCACGAGGGCCCTGAGTGTCTGGGCAGGGGGTTTGGGTCAAGTTCTCCAAGGGTCTGGCAGCTGGGTGGAACACAGAACGTGGGTGGCCCCAGGCTCTGCCCCTGACCGGCTGGGCCCCCAACCCTAGGCTCTAGCTGCCAGGGCCCTGACCGGCAGGGACACCCACTCTCCCTGCAGCCTGCGGGCCGGCAGAGAGTCGTCCTGTTTGGCGAAAGGAAACTGAGGTACAGTGAGCCCAAGTGGCTGGCCAGGGCGCACTGGGCTTGTGACTGCGGCTTCCCGGGGCTGTACTGTGCCCAGATGCCTCATCACGATGGTGAATGACGTCTGCAGAAACCGGCACACACTCCCGACCTCCCGGGTCTGGGTTTGGAGACCAGTTTTAGGTTAAGGCCGCAAACTCGGGGTCGCGGGGCTCCGATGTGGGGTGGGGCGGGGGCTGTTCTGGGTGGGGCTTCTGTGGGCGGGGTCACTCTGGGTGGGGTAAGCTACTATGGGCGGAGCCAGGGCTGCCATGGGCGGGGCGGGCTGCTGTTGATGAGGCGGGGCTGCTAAGGGCAGGACTGGGACTGCTGTGGGCGTGACGGGCTGCTGTGGGTGGGACTGGGATGGGGCCAATCTGGGCGGGGCCGCGGCTCCGGTGGGCGGGGCGAGTTCTATGGGCGGAGCCAGGGCCTGCTATGGGCAGGGCGGGCTGTGGATGGGGCGGGGCTGCTGTGGGCGGGGCTGGGAATGGTGGGGGGATTGCTGTGGGCGGGGCTGCGGTGGGCGGGGCTCACCAGGCAGTCCCGCTGCAGCGTCTTGACCAGCGCGCTGAAGGTGTCGGCATCGAGCAGGAGCCCCTCAGGCATGTCCTGCATGAAGTCCAGGTCCTTGTACGTGGGGATGCTCTTCTCCTTCTCCTTCTTGCTGGCGCGCCGCTTGTAGGTGGAGCCCTTGAGGTCGAACTTGAGGTGCATCTTGACGACGCGTGGCAGCACGTTGTTCATGACCACCACGCGGATGTTCTTGCCGCCCGACTGCACGCAGTACAGCCCGTAGAACTTGGGCAGCAGCGTCCGCGGGTTCTGGTTCAGGTTCTGCAGGGAAGCAGGGGGTGAGCGCCCTGCGCAGAGCCTCCGAAGAACAGGGACCCTCCCAGGGTGCCCCCACCGCAGGGAAGAACCTCCCCCTACCCCCCGGAGGTCCCCGCCTCTGGGCCCATCAGGGCTGGGTCTGCAGGGCTGGCCAGCCCCTGTTTCTGTAAGGCTTCCAGCTGAGGGCGGTTTTTCCATTTTTAAAAAGTTGAAAAATACCATAAGAAAAATAGTATTTTATGACATGTGAAAACGATGTGGAATTCACACTTCAGCGTCCATAAATAAAGTTTTATTGGCACACAGCCGTGCCCATCCACTCCCGGGCTGTGCAGGGCGGCTCCTGCGCCACCGAGGCAGAGCGGAGCCACCGAGGCAGAGCGGAGCCACTGAGGCAGAGCGGAGCCAGGCAGACAGACACTGCCCGCTTGGAGCCAAAGGTACCCCCGTCTGGCCCTTGACGGGTCGGGTTTGCGGAGCCCTGATCTAGAGGAGCGGGGTCCCACCCTAAGCATCACACACAGTGGATGAAGGATGCCTCAAATGGGAAACTGAGGCACAGGCTATGCTGAGCTGCTCAGAGGAGCCGGCAGTGGCTGGGGCCTGGCGGTTCAGGAGGTGCTGACCCTTGTTTGAGCGACGCCTGACCCTGAGGCCGGGAAAGGCAGCCCTGCCGCCCCGTCCCTGCTCCTCCCTCCCAGGGCCTGACGTGCCCTTTTCTCAAGGGTGGAGCTGGATGGCGCTGCCTGCACCAGCAGCTGGTCTTTTGTGGCGCCAGCTGGCGGCCCGTCCCCCTCATCTCTGCAACTGAGTCACTCCTGGGCCGCTTGGCCCTCGGTGGTGGCTGAGGGAGAGGCTGCCCGTGGGCTGCTATTTCTGGGACCCATGACTCTTGGGGCCGGGCAGGGTGTTCTGGGCAGCCAGGCAGCAGCGCCCCAGCCCTGCCCGGGGTTGTCAACCAGGGCCCGAGGCTGCAGGGGGAGGTGAGGGTGGTCCCGAACACCTATGGATGGGGTCCCTGAGGGTGAGTCTGTGAGCCCGCCCCGGAGGTGCCCGGGCCAGTGTCACCTGCCTGCTCCCGCCGGCCGAGGGAGCGGGGTTGGGGCAGAGTGGAGGGGCCACGTGCGGAGGCAGGGGGTGGAGGCAGGATGGGGGCCAGGGGACCCTGGATGGGGCCCTGCCGAGCCTTTCTTGTCCCCTCCCCTCCCCCATCCCCAAGGCCGAGGCCCCACAGCCGGGCGCCACGCACCATGTAGTAGCCGGGGAGCAGCTTCTGCAGGAACTCGGCCTCCTTGTGCATCACGGTCTTGATGATGAACTCGTCGTCGCTGGTGACGTAGAAGAGGGAGCCGCTGGCGCCCGGGTTGGAGAGCTCGATCAGCGGCTCGTTGCACAGGGAGTACTGAAAGGCAGAGGCAGGCAGCTGGTGAGCGGGCCTGGGGCCAGCGGACAGACGCTGCTCCTCAGCTGCCCGACAGCCCTGGGAACTGGTGGTCAGTCCATTTACAGACGAGGAGACGGAGGCTGGGGGGCAGGTGACTTTCCCAGGGCCACACGCCAAGGACTGCAACTGCCGACTCCTCAGTGTGAGTTAGCAGCAGACACCTGATTGTATCGTGGTGCCCACACACCTGGCCAAGACACGGTCCCAGCCCCCTTTGCAGCTGGGTGTGGCCCCGACGGCAGCTCTGCCCAGTGAGCTGCAAGCAGAACAGGAAGTGAACTTCGGGGAAGGCCGCCGATATGGGAGACAGACAGCTGGGGCGCCTCGTTTTATGGGGCACCTTTTCTCTGTCCTATTTCCCTCCTGGAACACTGATGTGACAGCTGGAACCCCAGCAGCCATAGGGGGCACCATGAGTTGACCTTTAGGATGGAAGGTGTGTACCAGCAGCCGCAGAAAGAGAAGCTGTGTCTCTGACAGGCAGTCCCCACCCGGGCCCCCGGCACACCCCAGCCCCCAGCACTGGCTCCCCGCCTCTCTTCCCCACCTTCCCCCTCACTGACATTTGTTTCCCTGCCTGTTCACTGTCTCCCTCCCCCACATGCCCCTCCCGGCCATTAGATGGGACGTTCCATGGAAACAGGCGTCTTTGCTACATTTGTTAAGTGAGACAGTGAAAATGAGACCTGCAGGCTGTGACCCTGGGCCACTGAAGTACTTCCCGGGTTAAGGCTGTCTGGGTTGGGCCTTCTGTCCCTCACACCCCCGACGTCCTAGCTGATCGCCATGGCTACACACGGATCAGGCCACGAGGGCTCCCCAGCCACTGAGGGTGCCAGGCCTGCTGCAGGGGACGCCAGCGGAGCACCCGCAAGTGGACACTCGGGAGGCTGTGAGTGACATGTGCACCCCCCCACCCCACCCCCGGGGAAGAACACGGAGTGCTGAGTGGGTGGGGCGTCCCCCTCGGGTTAGGGGTGGCGGCGAACGGAAGTGAGGGACAGCGGGAGGCGCCTCTGGAAAACATGCCCGGGCGCCGGGGCCCGCCCGGTGCAGAGCACGCCACCGGCTCCTCTGGCTCCGCTGTGTCCCAAGGGGGGGTCGGTGGGTTCACGTGGCGCTGGCCGCAGGGAGTGAGGGAGCAGGAGGACTGCAGTGGAAGCGAGAGGCGCCAGGCTGCAGCCGCCGCCAGGTGCGGCCATCTGTCTGTCCCTCCTCCGCCCACGGCCACCAGCCACAAATATCCACGGAAGACACAGAGCCCACGCTGGGCTCCTCCGCCCTCCCTGCGTGGCAGGAAGCCTCCAGCCTCTTCAGACAGGGTGCGGCGGGGCAGGGCGGGGCGGGGTTCCCTCCTGGGGCCGCAGCCCTCCCAGGGAGGCGAGGAGGCCCCTGCAGAGCCCACAGCCGTGTCCTCAGGTCACCTGGGACACAGAGGCCACAGCAGCCTGATGTCCCTGCACCGGGACAAGCCGCCGCGGCCTCTGCAAAGCACAGTGGGGAGGCCCTGGGGACACGCACAGGGGAAAAAGCCACGAAAGCAAGTTCAGCTTGATACAAAAGAAATCTATGAAAGTTCTGGAGCCAAGCAGCTCATGGCAGTTGCCCGCAGGGAGCAGGCCACATGTGCGGATTTCTGAGCTGGGAAGCAGCAGGACAACCGGGGTGGGACCCCTTCATGGGGGCTCTCGGCGACCGTGCTGCTGTGGGCTGACCGAGGCCCAGCTCTCCGCGCTGCAGCTGACCGGCCAGGGGACTGAGGCAGACTGTTTGCAGCCCCTAAGCCAACCCTCTGCCTCTGTCCTCTTGGCTGGGCACTGCGGCCTCAGCTGCCGGAGCGGAGTGGAGCCCGGCAAACCCAGCTCCCAGAGCCTCCCACCTGTGCCCCCCACTGCTCCGGCTCAGGGCCGCACGGGAGGGGACAGAACACATGCCCTCGCCTCCCCTTGCCACCGTTGCGAGGCCACACACATGCCGTGGGCCGGACAGAGGCGGACAGCTGCTGCCTGCCCAGCCACTGGGGCCCCAAGGACACTCTCGCCACCTGGGATGGGCACCAGCCAGGCTGCAGGGCCTCCGCACTGACCTCCGAGGCCGGGAGCTCACTCTGATTGGGTTCTAGGTGAGACCTAGGTGTCCCCTGCCTCCGTTTTCATTTGTCTGCTCCCCACTAAGGGACGCTCATGCCGTCTCCCCGCTGCTGTGAACCGCGGCATCCATTTCCACGTCTGGCAACCTGACGACCGGTGTCTGGGTAACCCGGGGGCCCAGTGACTCCTGGGTACCCAAATGGGGCTGGGGTCCCCTGGGGTCATGCGCACCCCTGGCTGGAGTGAACGCTAATTCTCTCTAGAAGGATGCAGCCTCCACTGAGGACACAGGTTTCCCCCAGACTAAGACAAACCAAATTCATGACAGGTCAACGACCACCAGAGACACAGGCGAATGAGACACCATGGTGACAGCCCAGCCCAGCGCCACAATCAGACACAGTGTTTCAAACGGTTACAGATCCGCTTGTCTACGGATTGCAAGTTTTCCTCTGATACAAAGTTATAAAACAGTGACCGGGCAGATTTGGGAAAGGACTGCACAGACGGGCAGCTCTGACGAACTCGGCCCTACCTTGGTGAGCGCCACGCTGGACTGCAAACCTGAGCAAGGAGCCGGCCGAGCTGCACCCACACGCCCGGCCTACGGAACCTCCGAGGTCGCAGACGTGCACTGTTTTATGTCACCAAGCCTGCGGTACTGTGTTACACGGCAGTAGCTGACACACTCACCAGGTAATCATCCGGCCGGATCCCGAACAGTTCCCGGAAGTAGCGGAAGGCGACAGGTGCATAGGTCTTGAACCGGAAGTCCTGGAAGTGGTGGGCGGGGGTGAGGTTGCTGCCTTCGCTGTGGAGGAAGGACAAAGAGGACGTCTGTGAGGGACAGTGGTGTTTTGGGCACCTCTCTCCGCTCCTCCCAACGGCCCTCGCCAGGCCCAGGGCGGTGCCTCCAGCTGCCGAGCCCCAAGGTGTCCTCCAAATGGCCCAATCCCACAAGCAACATGGGGCTCCCGACGGGACTGTCCCCCAGCAACCATCCCCCCTTCTCTCATTCGCAATGGAGCCCACGTGTTGGCTGGACACATGGCTGCCCAGAGTTAGACCTCACTGCCCAGCCTCTCTTGCAGCTAAGTGTGGTCATGTGACTGCACTCAGCCAATGAGACGTGAGTGGGGCAGGAACAATGTGTCTTATTTCCTGGTTGTGCCCTTAAAGGGAACAGGCATGTTATTCCCCTTCTCCTTCTCTTCCTTCCTGCTGCTGGAATGCAGACATATGGCAGGGCGTTGGGCAGCCACCTGGGACTGCTGGTGACAGAAGCTGCATGTTGAGGATGGCAGTGTGGAGCCCCCTTCCCAGCCCTGGATTGCCTACTGGTATTTTTACACGGGAGAATCAACTTCAACTTTTTCTTTTTTCTTTTCCTTTAAAACCTCTTTTATGTTGCGTCTCCCTGATTCTGCAGCAAACTAATATCCTGACTGATGTGGGGTCAGAGCCCAGAGCCAGGGAGATGCCAGGAGAGGCCCGGTGCTGTTTTCATCAGGGAAGGGCACTGAGAGATCGGGCTGCTCCGTGTGAGAACAGCGTCTGTCCGGTGGGCAGGCCCCGGAGCCCCAGGGCTGCTGCCGCAGGGCGCGCCCGGCCCACCTGGGGAAGAAGATGCTCTCCACCACGTAGAAGTCCTGCATGAGCACGTCCCGCTCGGGCTTGGAGCTCAGGTTGCCCACGGTGTAGCCGATGCCCAGCTGGATGGCGCCCTTCAGGGTGGAGGAGGTGGTCTGCGGGAGACGCAGCACGTCAGGACCCCTGGGCTGGCCCTGCCACGGCCCTGTCCCCAGGGCATGCTGGGGGGGCCGGCGCCCAGCCTGCAGCTGACCCCTGGCACCGCCCACACCCTCCCTGGGCCCCCTGCACGGGCACCTTCCAGAACTGTGACCATCCTGCCACCCCAGTGCAGGGGAGGGAGCCAGGCTGGGAAGGCGAAGCCACCGCCTTCGGGCCACACAGCACGCAGCGGCCCGGCCGTGACTCTGACACCGCTTTGTGTCAGAGGCCTCTTCCAGGCATGTTCTGGAAGGCCCCAGCCACCCCAACTGAGCAGGATTCTGTTTTGTTTTTTAGGGTGGCACAGTTTAGAGAGCAATGCTGGAGTCACACTCATTTCCTCAGACAGGGTTCCTTCCACCTGCTTTCTGCGTGACAGACAGGGCTGGACGAGACAGCCCGGCCCTTCGAGGACGCTGTGAGCCAAAGCCTCGCACGCTTGGGCAGCACTGGCTGTTTTTCTTTCGTTTTGTTTTTTGAGACAGAGTCTTGCCCTGTCACAGGCTGGAGTGCAGTGGTGCAATCACAGCTCACTGCAGCCTCCAACTCCTGGCCTTAAGCAATCCTCCTGCCTCAGCCTCTCGCGTAGCTAGGACTACAGTGCCACTGCCCAGCTAATTTTTCTATTTTTTGCAGAGATGGAGTCTCCCTATGTTGCCCAGGCTGGTCTCCAACTCCTGGCCTCAAGCGATCCTGCTGCCTCAGCCTCCCAGAGTGCTGGGACTGTAGGCCTGGGCCATGGCACCCCGGGGTGGGAGCTGTTATTTCCATCGCCAGCATTGTTAGTGCTGTCACCCTGGGCATTCTGTGTGCCGTGCCCATCCTAACACTGAGGAAGACACCTCGGTCTCCCCAGCGCTCCCGCCAAGGGTGCGGGAGGCCGGGAGGGGGTCGGAGATGATCTTTGCCAACAGGGCAAGGCCTTCGCTCCCTGCTCGGGCACCTGGCCCTCGGCTCGCCCCCGCTGAGCCTCCCCCGGGGGGCCCCGGCCTGGCCTCTGCGTCCCTCGCCCTGCTGATGCTGGCCGAGCAGACGCCTGCTCAGAGACACACAGCGGGAAGCTCAGCGCTCCTGGGCGTCGAGAAGAGCAAATCAGCGTCACAAAGAGACACCGAGTCTCGCCCACGGGCGCCAGATCCACAGGGACGGCCGGTCACGGGCGCTGGTGCGCGTGTGGGGAAACCGTGGGCCCGTGTGCTCCGGGAACGTGAAATGCTGCAGCCGCTGAGGGAAGCAGTCTGGAAGTTTCTCAAAGGGTTAAACGTAGCGTTACCCTGTGACCCAGCAATGCCAGTCCTGGGCACCTACGTCCCCGCAAAAACTTATAAATAGCGTCCACAGCAACGTCGTTTGCAAGTGGAAACGACCCGAGTGTCTGTGGGCAGGCGAGTGGGCCAACACGGCCTGGCCCATCCACACGTGGAGCGTCACTCAGCCACAAAAAGAACGAGGCTCTGACACAGGCCACAGTGTGGAGGGACCTTGAGGACGTCGTGCTCAGTGAGAGACGCCAGACACAGAAGGACACACAGTGTGAGACCCATTTATATGAAATAGCCAGAACAGGCAGGGCCACGGAGATGGGACGTGGCTTCGTGGGTGCCAGGGGCTGGGGAGGGGTTGGGGAGGGACTGCTGATGGGGATGGGGCTTCCTTTTGGGTGGTGAGAATGTTCTAGAATTAGAGGTGACGGTTGCACAGCTCTGTGAAAGTGCCAGAAACCTTTCACTGTACACTTAAAAGGGTGAATTACATAGCATGTGACTCACATCTCAGTGTAGCTGGTATGTTAGAACAAAAATGCAACCGAGGCAGGGGTGTGAGCAGCAGAGGGTCACACCTCCTGCCCACACGGCCTGGGCCAGAGCGTCCCACCCTTGCGGTCCAAGGCCGTGGCAGACTGTGAGCCCCTCTCTAGATGAGGCACTGCCCAAGGTCACTTGATTCTGAAGCCAGGCCGAGCCACACGGAGCCTGTCACCCGGCTGCCAGGCCAGCACGGAGTGGGAGTCTCACCAGGGACCGAGGTCCCTGAGAGCACCTGCCTCCAGCCAAACACGGCGTGACCCACGCCGAGCCTGAGCAGACCCCGTGTGCCCGTCCCCTTCCCTGTCGCCCTCCCCCCAGCAAGCCAGCCGAGACAGCTGAGGAACCTTCTTGTAGGTGGTTTCGCCGGACGCGTCCACGCCTCGATGACCCAACTTCTTCCCATGGCCGGGGCCCGGCTGTCCGGTCATCGACAGGGCCTGCGGGGAGGAAGCAGGACGTGTGAAGTTGTCACGAAGGCACCGCCACCCGGAGAGGGGACTAGTCACGGGCCGGCGGGAGCACACGGGGCCAGCGCTCCAGGGTGCAGTTGGAGGCCACTCACTGGCACGTGCCCCGTGGGCAGCCAGGGCCCGCAGCATCAGACGAGGACCCCAAGGCCAGGCCCCCGGCCGCTCCAGACAGGCAGGAAGGCCAGGCGGCCTCAGCCCGCCGGACTCAGCGCTGCCCGGGGCACTGTGGCCACGGGGGTGGCTCGTGCCCTGAGGAGGGGCGTCCCGGGCACTGCAGGTGCTGGGCTGCGTCCCTCCCCCCACCCACTCCAGGCCAGGAGCCCCCCAGTGTGACAGCCACAGATGTCCCCAGAGGGCAGGACGCCCCGGTGAGACCCCACAGCTGGTGTGACGCACACGGCTGCTCCTCCCAATGGAGAAGGTCCCCTGGCCGGGGACAGGCCCAGCGCCCACTGTCCTAGCAGGCGGGGATGACCTATCCGCTGTCCCCATGGGAGGAGGGGCCTCAGGAGCCTGCAGGGACACAGCCTCACCTGTCACTGAGGGTAAGGGGCTCTCACCGGGCACACTCGGGGAGCCCTGCAGCCCTCGACCAGTCCAGCCAGGCAGCACCCCCACCCCTCTCCTGCCCTCCCGGCCGTGCAGCCTCTGCTCCGCTTCTCCTCTCCGGCCAGCAGGGGGCGGGCTCCTCCCAGGAACTGCCCCCAACCCGCTCCGCACCCCTCGCTGGCTCCCAGCTGCCCCTCCCCATGGTGGACTCAGAGTAAGGTCCCCGTCCCGGTGGACGACTCCAGCACGGCTCTGAGTGTGGATGCAGGATGCCTGCAGGGACCCACGTGGCAGGCGGCATCCCTGGCGAGGAGGGACACAGGCCACACGGGACTCCTGCTACCGCGTGGCCCTCACAGCGGCTCCTGTCCCTGGAGGGACCGTGACCTTTCCACGTGCGCCCACCCCGCCCGAGCTGCAGACGGCCACGGCTGAGGAACAGCCCTCGGAACCAGACTCCAGAAGGGATGGTGACGGTGGGCGGGTGGGAGCAGGAGGGACTCGTGACCACGCACACGCCAGCACGTGCCCACAGCCTCACCATGCCCTCATGCTGTGTGGCTGCCAAGGGCGACCCGCTGGGGTGAGGGGTGCAGGCGGAGCCACTGGCCTGGGGCTTTGCCCTCCAGGCAGCATCCGACCCCCTTCCACCCCCAGCCCCCTACGCCCCGGTGCCCAAGCTGGCCACCTGCCACCTCCAGTCCCAGCGACACCAGGTCGATCCCCAAGGGCAGAGCCTCCAGCCACATCCGTGGTCTGGCCACGTGGGGTGGACACACGCCAATCAGCCCACCTGTCCTGCGCCCTTGACCCCCGCCCCCACCACTGAATTCTGTCCCCGCAACTGGAGATGCCATCAGGGGCTCAGAGAGGGGCAGTGGGCTGCCTAAGGCCACACAGCTCCTCACCACGCGGGTCCAGTTGGGACCCCCAGGCCCTTCACCCTCTGGACACTCACCTCTGTCGGGGCCGCCTTCTTCTGGGTCAAACCTGCAGGGGAGACGGAGACTTCAGAACGGGGCCTGGGACCACCCCCTCGGCTCCCTGCACCCCTGGACGGGACTCGAGTGCCAGGTAAGTGCCCCCCCTTGGGATGTGCCTCAAGGTCACCTCGCGGCGGGAGCAGAGGGGGATAATGCGGTGAGAGGGTGGGCCTCGGGGCTGCCGTGGGGCTGGGTGCCGGGCAGGCCCTCGGGCGGGCACGGCCTCTCCCCGACACCACCTGAGGGCCAGCAGGCACACGGCTAGTCCAGTGGGGACCGTCACAAATCCACGGAGAGGCCGGCTCCACGCTGGGGGTGCAGCCCCTCCCTGCTCTGGGCCGGGCAGCCTCAGGGAGGGGGACAGTCTGGGGACAGACCCGTGTGCACAGGCAGGGCGAGGCAGGACCACATGGGGGAGGCACGGGGGAGGCTGGGGAGGAGGTGGGCGCCAGGCTGGCTGTGGCCTGGGGGGAGGAGTCTTTCTTGTCCCGGTCAGTCGTGGCCTCACAGAGGCCGGGGAGGGGCCTCGCTGCTTTAAAGAGGCCCACGGCGAAGCCGGAGAGAGGGGTGACGCCGCCCAGGTCACGTGGAAGGAGAAGGGACTTCGGAGCCAGGTCTGGGTCACGGCGACCCCTGCCCCGCTGACCCGCCTTGCTCGGCCGTCCCTGCCAGAGCCCCCGGGCCCCTCGCCGCCCTCGGGGGTGCACGGACGACCCACGTGCGTCCAGCGCCAGGGCCACTCTGCCACCTCAGACCCGTGTGCGCGTCACAGGTGGTTGGGGCTGCTCGGCAGGGAGCTCCCGGCTCTGCTTGCGTGACAGCAACACCGGACACGCAGCAGGGGCCCCACCGAGCTGAGGGAGAAACCGTGCATGTCATGTCGGGGGCTGTGGGCAGACGCGGCTCAGGAGGGGACCGCGTGACCGCGCTGCCCGTCACGGTGGTCAGCCTGTGCTGGCACCGGCACACGGCTGGAGAGCGTCCCCCAAACTCAGGGACCTCAGAGCGTGACCGTATTTGGGAACAGGCCTTGCTGACAAAATTGGCCAAGACGAGGCCGGGGGCTGGCCGCGGGACCGCTGTCCTCGTGAGAAGAGCGGAGACGCAGGGCACCCCGTGGGGACACAGGCAGAGACCGGGTGATGCTCCTACCCGCCAGGGATGCAGCCACCACCAGCAGGGGGGGTCACAGGGCAGACCCTCCGTCCCGGCCTCAGGAGGACCCACCCTGCCCACACCTTGACCCCAGACTTCCAGAACGGAGGAGAACAAACTTCTGTTGTTCTCAGCCCAGACACGCACATGACGGCCGAGGTCTCTGGCCTCGCCCGGATCCCCCACCAGCCGGGAGGGGCCGGGCAGGGGTGACAGGCGGCCAGTGGGGCCCGGGGGGGAGGCAGAGGAGGGGACGCTGGCTCAGGAGGGGCGTGCGGCGGGGACGGGCTGTGCTCCAGGGAGGGGCGGAGGAATCCGGCTGCGGCGCTACAGAAGGACGGAAGGACGGGACTGCCCTCGGCAGGAGGGGACAGGGCGACGCATGGCCCTGCTGAGCAGGGAGCGCCATGGGCAGATGTCGGGTCTGGTGCTCGGCCCCTCTGCGTGGCGCCCCTTCTAGAGGACAGAGCCGGTCCTCCAGTCCCTTCTGGCCGCAGGGACCACCCGCCGTGGCCTGTGCCTGTCCCCGACAACCGGCAGGGATGCTGACACATGTTTGCGTGGCCGCCAGCGGCAGAATAATTCGAGGCTTTGCGTCCAGGGCGTGGGGGCAGGAAAAGGAGAGCGGGCAGGAAACCAGTGGCGGACGAGGCGGAACGTTCTAGACCTGGTCAGGGGCCCCTGGGCTGCCCTTCTCAGCTGCCCAGCCGGAGGATGGGGAGGGCGTCCTGGGGTGGGGACAGACCATGGTGCTGGACCGGGGAAGGAGCTCCGAGCTCGGAGGCGACCTGGCCTTGGTGCCACCAGCCGGTGGGCGAGCGGGTGCCACCGTCTCCCCGCTGCCCGGTTCTCGGGAGTCCACCCGGGCACAGAGCCCGGACGTGCCCAGCCCCGATGAAGGACTGTCACGATCTCGAGGTGACTAATTATCTTCTGAATGAGCCACCCTGTTTTCGAGGAAATTAAGTTTTAAAAATAGTCGGGGGAGGAGGAGGAGAGGCGAGCCGCGCCGCACAGCGGGAGCGACAGATGTGTGGGGCGAAGCCACGTCCCCACTCCCCACGCCAGAGGGCGAGCCAGGACCCCTCGGCCTCCAAGCTGCCCCCCACGAGACCTCAGCAGGTCCCCGCACCCATCTGAGCGAGGCGGCCACCCACCGAGCGGCCAAAGGCGGGGCTCCCCGGGACCTGGTGGTGACTGGGGCCCGGCCACCTGCAGCGGCGGCCTCGCAGCACCTCACGTCCTCATGCGCCGGGGCTGTGCTCTGAGCCTCAGTGTGTCCACCCGGGAAGCCGGCCCAGAGCGCCCTCCCACCGGGAGGCCGCACCCCTCAGGGCGCCGCCCGCCAGGCTGCCGCCTGGTCCACGCCTGGCCTGCGCTTTGGCCGCCCCACCCCCGCCTGGATGCTCTGCCCTGCGCCAGCCGCCACACCGCCCTGCGGGCACCGCTCTGCCCTGCAGACCCTGTCCGGTCCCCGCTGCCGATGGCAGACGGACTCCTTCAGGGCTGGGCCTGCCCCGCGCTGACATTCAAGGGCGTTTGTTGACTGACTTATGGATGGAAGGACATGCCTGTTCCTCTCCTCTGTACACACACAGGCCTCTGCAGCTCTTCTCCACATATGCTTGATGTGGAAACTGAGGCAGGGAATGACCACACTGGGGCCTCAAAACCTCCCTGCCCTCCTCTCCTCCCTCTGCTCCAGCCACCCCGGCCTCCCCACTGCACGTCCCATACACCAGGCCCCATCCTGCCCCAGGGCCTTTGCATGGGCTGTGTCTCCGCCTGGCAGGGTTTGCTCCCTTGCTCCACCCAAGCCCTGGCTCAAATGCCACCCCTCAGAGGCCTTCCCCCACCGCCCTGCGCCAACAGTCCCTTCCACCACTCCCGCTTCCCGGCACACGCAGCGCCCGGCACACGTCTGGCTGGGGGGCCCCGGCCGGCGCCCGCTCACCACGCTGAGCAAACCAGGCTGCGAGGGCACAGGCGGCTCAGAAGGCCTGCGGTCCTGAGACCACCCGGTGAGCTCGCTTCCCCATTCGCTGCGACAGTCTGCCCTTGGGCTTCCTGCCTCGCAGGTCTCTGCCCACGTGCACCAGAGACCCTGTGCGGCCGGCGAGGGAGGCCGGGCCGGAAGGGGCACCCCAGGGCACACGCCCGAGCTGGGGACCCCTCTGGGGGCAGAGCCACCCCTCAGCCCTGAGGCTCGGCCAGCCCGGGGCCCCAGGGACCAGTCGCTGAAGCCACACGTGGGGATCCTCTCCCCATCCTACCGCCCCCCAACCCAGAGGGGCGCGCATGCGCAGAGCCAGCCCGCGGAGGGGCGCGCATGCGCAGAGCCGGCCCACGGAGAGGCGCGCACGCGCAGGGCCGTCTGGGATTCCATGCCGCCTCGGACCCCGCCTCGGACCCCGGCTGCGGGACGAATCCCAGCAAGACCGCAGAACCGCCCAGCTGAACCCGACCGGCCGGCTCGTGAGCCAGCCACGCCGTGGGAAGGCACCGGGCCCGGGGTGGTTTGCCACACAGCAACAGCCGACGGAAGCAAGTGTCTCGTCCACACGCTCGGCGTTTCTAACAGAAATACCGGCCCTGCTGCCAGGAGCGGAGAGTCAGAGTTCTGGCTCCTCCGTCCCACCTGGGTTCCGTACATCCAGAACAGCAGGAAGCACGGCCGTAGGACCGCGGCTCAGCTCTGACGCGGCGACAAGGAACAATCCTGGAAACGCCACGCGCGGAGAGAGAAGCCGGCACAGAAGGCCACACGGTGCCAGTTCCACGTATGGGAAGCCCAGGACAGGCACATCCACAGGCACAGAATGTGGACCGTGGCTGCCAGGGGCTGGGAAGGGGTGGGAAGTGACTGCTGACAGGGGCGGGGCTTCTTTTTGGAGACACGGAATGTTCTGGAATTAGTGGTAATGACTAGACTCTGTAAATATACTTTTAAGAAACTACTAGGGCTGGGCGCGGTGGCTCTCGCCTTTAATCCTAGCACTCTGGGAGGCCGAGGCGGGCGGATTGCTCGAGGTCAGGAATTCAAAACCAGCCTGAGCAAGAGTGAGACTCCGTCTCTACTAAAAATAGAAAGAAACTAATTGGCTAATACTAAAAATATACACAGAAAAAATTAGCCGGGCATGGTGGCGCATGCCTATAGTCCCAGCTACTCGGGAGGCTGAGGCAGGAGTCTGAGGAGCCTTGAGCCCAGGAGTCTGAGGTTGCTGTGAACTAGGCTGACGCCACGGCACTCTAGCCCAGGCAACAGAGTGAGACTCTGACTCAAAACAAAAAAACACTACTCAATGGTACACTTCAAAAGCACGATGCCACACACAGTACAAACCAGCTACTGGAGAAAGGGAATAAAACCATAAAGTCCAGGCCCACGTCTGACGCTCTGACTCCGTGGACCCCGGACCCACATCGGGCTGGTCGCTGACGTCAACCCTCGGCTTCTGCTCTGGCTCACACGGGCCAGGACCGACTGTGCTGCCTGCCGGACACTCCTCGGGCCCTACCCAGCCTCTCCCCTCGTGACGCACAAACGGTCTGGGGGCTCCAGTCGCCTCCTAAAACCCACCACCATCCCAGGGTCTCCCCTGGGTGCTGTGGACACTGGGGCCGGGTAGTCCAGCGTCCCTGCCTCCACCTGCTCCAGGCCAGGAGCACCTCGAGTCGTGACAACAACAAACGTCCCCAGACATCACCCAGTGTCATCGTCCCGGGTGAGGCCCTCTGCACTAGCCTGTGTGGTTAAAAAACACCTCGGATGAGGCCAGGCTTGGTGGCACCCGTAGTCCCAGCACTCTGGGAGGCTGAGGCAGGAGGACTGCTTGAGCCCAGGAGTTGGAGGCTGCAGTGAGCTGTGATGATGCCACTGCACTCCAGCCTGGGTGACAGAGCGAGACCCTGTTTCCAAAAAGCCCTCAGTTGAAACGTTAAAAACAGCAGTGACAGCAAATCCCCGAGCTGCACACTTTGCTGGGTCCCGAGCCAAGCGAACCCCTCCCACGCAGAACCTCACCCCCGTCTGACCAGGTAGCTGCTACGGACAGCTTCACATTACAGACGGGGAAACTGAGGCTCAGAGAGGTCCATGGAGTCCAACACTGCTAAGGCCCCTCACCCAGATCATCCGCAACCCCCGCTGGCCTCCCCGCCTTGGGATTGGCAGCACTTGGCCCCGGTGCCCACCAGGAAGTGAGGAGAGCCGTGACTCCTGCAGCTGCCCAACCCATAGTCACGAGCCCAGCAAGTCGCCGCGACGGTGCGACCAGCGTGCCACCAAGGACGGCCGCGCCTGGGCTTTCTTTCTAGTGCTACGGCGTTTGAGTTGAGTCAACTTTAAAAATCACGGTATCCTGGAGAAAAACCTGGCTTTCCTGAGAAACACGCAGACCCAGAAGTAAAAGGCTGGCACCGCCACTTGCCTCCTCTGCCCTGTCCCCCACAGCCCTTCTCCACGGCGGGCAGCCAGGGGGCGCCTCTGAGCACCAAAGCCAGTGGCCACTTAATTCATTACACTGCCCTTTCTCAGGCTGGGAAACGGGGGATTTGGAGACATTTGGGAAGTTACCCAAAGTCAA